GTTAATTTCATCCATTTGCTATCGGAAGTATTAATTAGGTTGTATTTGGTTTTCGGCGTTACATATAAACAGTAGACTCTTTGATTATTGATAAGATGGTTGAAAAAGTGAGAAAAGTAATAAGTCCCATTAAAATATTATATATAATTTCTAATATAATTAGTAGTAAGGTAAAATTATCAAAACGGAAGTCACAGTGAATTTTTTTTACTCTCTTATTATAGTTGTCCTCTACAATTAATATATTGCCAGATATTTTCTTTTTTCTTTTCAGATAGTGGAAGAAGGGATGGATTCCGTGAATGAAGCTGATATGAAGGTTTGTTCTGTTTAAATTTTTATCATTCTAAATTAGCTTTTATTTCAGTATTGTATAACTTGTATTACAAAAAATGAATTTATTTTTATGTAGTTATTATTAGAACGTATGTCTACTTCACTATAACTGGATATATTAAAACTAAAGAGATTTGGCTGAGTTTTTTCAATTTTAAGTTCTAAATTGACAAACGAAAATCTCTTTAAGAACAACTTTAAGCTCTCTTTTGGTAATAAATATGTCAGTCTTTGTAGAAAAAGGGTTGAGTTTTTCATGAGTATATTTAGCTTCTTGAATAAAATCTACAAAACTAAATTTCAGGTGGTGAAATTTGAGTCAGTTACGGAACGTGAGCGATCATTAAGCCGACTTTCGTTAGGTAGATCACCAACAAAAATGCCGACGCAGTTAATACATCCAGCAGATGAAGATGAATCTGGTAGGCTAAAACATATAGCTCTTTTTATTTTCGTTATATTTCTCAGTGAAATGAACAAATTGAAACTTATAAAGTTTGCCACAAAATTTTAAACTTTCAATTTCGAGTTTAGCATGCTTTATCAAATTCAGCTAGGAACAGTTAGTTTACTTTTATTATTTCATTATGAGGTGACAAACAATTTTCTTGATCTGGAGAACTGTGCTATATTTATTCAAACCATTAAAAAAAGAAATGGGAAATGAGATGATTTAGTTTGAAATATTTAAATTTAAAAATTTCGAAATTTCTTATTTTTCAAAAAAAGTGTGGAGCTATTATTCTGTCAGGAAAAAGATCAACTTGATTTGTAGATAGTGATGAGCCGTTATTGTCCGGTTCAGGTGTTGTTAATCAGGAATGTTCCGACGATGTACTTAGTGCTTGGAATAAAATCTTGCTGGAATGGAAAACAAATCCCGAAGGGTAGGCTAAATTTTTACTAATGCAAATTGTTTTACCGTTTCCGTCACTAATATCTGATACCGTATCCCTTCTACTGCTATCATAATTGCTGAATAGTATAAATGGTTAAAACTACCAGCATCGCAAATTAAAACATCCATCTTGTTTTTTTTTTTTGATTAGCAAAATTTCTATTTAAAATTCTTGTTTGGTGTAATTTTTTTTTTTTAGAGCAGTACCGGAAGGTTTAAGTGATCTGATACGTAATGGAGTACCTGATGTTTTACGCGGTGAAGTTTGGCAGTATTTGGCAAAAGTTCAAATTGATCCTGACCTTACCCAAACATATCGCTTATTACTTGGAAAAGTAATTTTTGTTTTCTTTTGCATAATGTTTCATCTTTGTCAGTTTTCACCTGCCGCACGAAAAAGTGTGGAATTATTATTTTGTTAAAACTGTTTCATTTTCTTAATGCATAATAAAAATCAGGTAACATCGATATAAGATAGAATCTATAAAAGATTTGAAATCGTCAATATCATATGTTAAATTGAACTGTAATACTTTCAAAAATACAAGTTTTTTTTTTTTTTTATTTGGTTTGCGAAAGATGAGCAGATAAATAAATCTTGTTAATTAAGGAACGATATTGCTTAATTGTATAACATGTCTGTTTTTTCTCATTGTTTTAAATAATCTAAATTATAGGAATGTCCATCGGAACAGGTAATATTACGGGACATTCATCGTACATTTCCAGCACATGAATATTTTAAAAAAGCAGGTGGAGAAGGTCAGGAATCGTTATACCGAATCAGTAAAGCATATTCTTTATACGACGAAGAAGTCAGTTACTGCCAAGGATTGTCTTTCTTAGCTGCTGCATTATTACTGCATGTAAATATTCATATATATATATATATATATATATATATATATATATATATATTTGTTTCATTTAATATATCATTTATTTAATATAATTTATTGATTTCTTCGTGCAAAAAAAAATTTAATTTTTTTCATATCTTCAAATTTCAATATTTAAGATGCCCGAAGAGCAAGCTTTTTGTACGCTTGTAAAAATAATGTTCGATTATGGTTTACGCGATCTATTCAAACTTGGTTTGAATGTTTTACACTTACGATTTTATCAACTTCAAAGGTTAACTGAGGTAGTCGTTTACAATTTTATTTGCATTGTGCAAGAATAACTTTTTAACATGATACTGAATGACTGAGAAACAATTTCTGTTTCATAATTTATGAATTTAAAAATTCATCGTTTTCAGTCCTTTTATTTTTCTGTTAGAATGTTTGACATTATCTTACCATCTATGATGCTTTTTCCAGTAGACGGCATACATGATTTTCTGCTTTTCTGTAATATCTAGTACATTAGTATGGTACTGATTGCTTTTCAGTTACTCATGATATTTAATTTCAAATTAAAACAGTAAATTTTTTTTCGTTTCTTCGATTAACTGTATTTCAGGATTATGTGCCAGATCTCTTTGCTCATTTCTATAATCTCGGTGTTGAAACACATATGTATGCCTCACAATGGTTTCTCACTTTATTCACTGCCAAATTTCCACTACAAATGGTCTATTTTATTGTAGATCTTTTTCTCAGCGAGGTATGATTGAATTTGTTAACTGGAAAATTTTGTTCTATAACAATTCTGAAATTGCAATTTCCAATAAATTTGAGCTCTCTTTTTTTTTTTTTTTATATACAGGTTCTTCAAAATAGATTATTATACATTTTATTAATTTTTAGCTATTCTAGGGGATGAACACGATATTTCACATATCATTAGCTCTATTGAAAGCATCCAAAAAAGAGCTATTACAATTGGATTTCGAGGGAGCGCTTAAATATTTTCGTGTTGTTTTACCAAGACTTTATCGTACTGAAGCAAATGCTAAAGAGCTAATTCATAAAGCAGTCAAATTAAAAGTTAGTTTTATTGGTTTCGTTTTTATTTAGATCAGTAATTAAAACATTTTTTTTTTTTATCACATAACATATGCGACATTCTTTAACAGTTGACTTTTTCGTACATTGTATCGTTAGTTTTTACAATCCCATCTCTATGTTATTCTGCCAGTGCTTGGTTTGTAATTAATTGTTTAATTAGTAGATATTTTTATTACTAGCATTAAGATTTTTTTTTTTTTTAATGATTAGTTAAATATACGTTATTATGCGCAAATTGAAAAAAAAAAATGGTGTGAGCAATATGTGTGCATATATTTTTTGTGCAATATTTTAAAAAGCCATACTTTTTAGATAAGCCATAAACGACTATCAAAATACGAGAAGGAATTTTATTCGTTGAAAGAGCGTGAATTAGAATCTCAAGATCCATTGGAACGTATGGAGGTTAGCTATTAATTTAACTAACTTGGTAAGTATTAACGTAAATATTAACTGTTGTAAAATATCTGCTGTAAATTTCAAAAAATTTTTTTTTCAGCGGGAAAATCTTCAACTGAAGGAAACAGTAATGCGACTGGAAAGGGAAAATGATGATTTGGCACATGAACTCGTAACTAGTAAGATTGAGCTGAGAAAGAATTTAGATACCGTATGTCATCTAAATAAAAGCTGATTTTTAATGTATATTTCAATCTTTTCTCTAATTAATTAGCCATATCCAAATTTCCTTATTTTTATGAATTAAATCTATTATAGGCAGAAGATAGTGTTGAAAGTTTACAAGGACAGCTTGAGAGGTGTATGCGAACAGCAAAAGATCTTGAGGATGAAAATAGTGGACTGCGAACTGAATACGATCAGGTCGTTATATTTTTATACCAAATTTGATTCACAATCATGAAAATACTAACTTTAAAATCTGAGTGAATAGTTTATTTCAATTGTTATGCATATGTTTTTGTCGGTAAAGGTATTTATATCGAACATAGATAACTGTCTCGCTCAAGTTTGAGTTTAAAATGCATCAAAATAGATCGGATTCGAATGAAGTTTTCATGATGTTTAACAATCATTTGATTCAAATTTATAGGTGAAGGAAATGTGTAGGAGAGAAGTGTTGCGACTCGAATCGGAAGGATCACGATCACAGGGTATTATTACTAACTACAAAGAAATTTGTTCCGATTTAAGTTATCGATTGGAGAAGCAGCAAGATAGTTTCAAAGCTCAAAAATCACGAATTGCTGTAAGTTACTATTGTGAGACATTCTGATGACTATTTTCATAGAATGAATTGTTTTGTAGGGAGTGGTCTCGAACTGTGAACAATGTTCAACTGCACTTGCTGAATTTACCGAACAGGTAAATGGGAATCCATCAAAGAAGGTATCTGATGTATGCTTTTCATTTCATTATCACTAAAATTCTGTTTGCAAAGTTATTTCTTTTTTTAACGGATGTAGGGTTTGGTAGAGTAATAAAATTTATTTATTTTTCAGTTATCATCAGTGGAAGATGGTTGTGGCTTTAAGATGATTGAGTTGATGGATAAACTGGAAGAAAGTGAGCAACGTATTCGCCAGCTGGAACTTAGTCTTGCTCAAACTAAGCTTGAATTAGTTGAAGCACAATGTAGAAATCAGGACTTGAGTCATCAAGTAATTCTATTTGAATAAAACTTTTAAAGTGATAGTATATTAATACCATTTCACATGTAGTTATTGATTAGTTTGAATATTCAAGCAATCATAACTAAGTGATAAGTAATGAGAGATTATCATAATGTTGATTCTGTTTGAATAGTAATCAACATTGATATTATTGGAAAATATGCTTGATTTATAATTAATTCTAAGCAAGAATGCGAATCTGGAAGACGTAAAGTCTAAAGTATTTAAACTTTACGTTTTCTTCCCGTTATTTTCGCTAAAGGATTAGGCGAGATGCGTGTGCAGCGCTTGTCATAATAATGGCGTTGTTCCTTATTTTACTTGCTACATATATTTACATACTTGAGCTGTAAGCTATGACTAATGTGTATAACAATTCTTATATATATATATTTTTTTTTTTGCTTACTATTAAAATTGATATGTTTAATTTCTCCATTAATTATGATGGTTTGAACATTTAGTTTACATTTTATGAGATTAACTTATTTAGCTAATTTGATTCATTTCAAAAAAAGTGATGAGAATTGTCTTAATTTATACTTCCAAAAATTTGCTTTTAAATTTTTTAAAGTTTTTATAAAGGTAATCTTTCTTCAGATGAATGCATCAATTACTGGTGATAACGATAGTAGTAGACATGCAGCATGGTTGAAAAAAACAATATCATCAATTCGAGATGTTGGTACGTCATTGAAACAGCCTACCCATGAGTGTAGTAACAGTTCCGTTTCTGTGGATAAATATTAGTTTTTTTTTTTTTTTTTTTTTTTCTTTTTTTTTTTTTATATTAAGGTATTGTTTCACTTGGATAACCTGTAAATTTTAAAGAATTCATTTCAAAAAATGAAGAATTTTGATTGGATAATTAGAATTGAAATTATTTCTTATGATATCAATTTTTGTTTTCTTTTTTCGATTGTTTTATTTGGAGCGCTATATAATTGATCACTTATTCAACATTTACCACTATTTCTTATATTTATTAAAGCTAGGCAGTGCATACAGTTGTGAATGTTTATTGATTACCCTAGATAATCATATGGGCAATTATGGCCTTTCACATAAAAGAACTGCAATCATTGAAATTATAAAATGTTGTTTGTAGACAAATGAGGATTATTCATCTCTAATACGTGTTATTACTAGAATATACTATTTGTTTGTTCGTTTGTTCCTTTTTTTTTTCGGGAATTCTATAAGTTATTCACTTTATTTTGCTACTTTTTATTGTTTACTAATTTATTCATTAATTCATTAATGTTTGAATATTTTCTGATATAATCATTTGCTTTGCTCTTTCATTTTTCGTAATGCTTTCTTTGTCAATTATGGTGCAAGGATTTGTGACTGGTTATTCACAGTTATCATTTATTTAAATATGGCTTTGGATTTTAGTTTTCCCGGTAATTTTTCCATTTAATTTGAATTTTTCAGTTTGTGAGACATCCAGACCAATGGAAGATAAATAATGGGAGAGATGGCCTTAGTGATTACGATTTTGCATTAATCTGATATTAGAAATAGAAAAAAGCAAAAAACCAAGGAACATTTTTTTATTAGATTATGAGGACCTCTTTGTTGAATAGATGATTTTGGATGAGATTTTCAATTTATAGGGAAAGCAATCTTTAATTTAAATCAATTCCATTAGCAATAATCTCCGTGAAGTGTAAGGTTTTCTTTGATTTGCGAAAGTTTAATATGGTTGAAACATTGATTTCCTTAATATCCACTACTATTTAGCACTATAAAGTTGTTTTTAAAGCTGTAAAGTGTCCAAATTAATTATTTCACATAGCCTTACTGACCAGTAATTTCGCTGTAAAAAAAAATAACGGGAACTGCTTATGTTATTTTGTTTGCATTCCAATTTGTCCGTTTTGTTTATTTTGTTTGTTTGTAAATTTACGAGGAATTTGAATGTTGTGAAATGTTCGTCATTGAAGAAAGACTTCTTTTTTAGAGAATCACTGATAAATTGTCCGTTTTTTTTTTTTTTTTTTTTTTTGCTTGATCTCTTACAAATCGAAAATAATTTGAGCATTTCTTAGTGCGAAATTTAGTTTACATACTGAAAAGGCGCTTCATTAAATTTGACTCATTAATTTAGTATAATGTTTATCGAATTTCAATGTTACCAATAAGTAAATTTTTATACTTTATTAAGCAACACAAATGAAAGAAGAAAAACATTTTCAACAAATTAAATCTAATAACTTAAACAATAATATGAAATATTAACATGAGATATCCCACACATTACCAAATTTTATACTTACAACTTTTAGAAATACTAACCGTTAAGAATACATATATAAGCTCATCTTTTGTACAACTAATTCAAAAGACAGATTTGTTTGCCCGATAAATAAATTTTCCGAAAGTAATTACAAATAAGTAATGCTATTGACACAGTAGTTTCGCAACCACCACTGCTTTCTTAATTTCCATAAACACAAATTTGACAGTTTATTCTTAGTAGTGAATTTAAGTAATTATTTTTTGTAAAGCTTTATAAAAATATACTGTTTCCCAATAATAATAAAATAAAACATACCTTCTTAAATTTTCAATGAATAGGGAAAAAGTCATTTTTATTGATAAATATTAAAATAAGAATTTATATAATAGTAAACATGTTCGGAATACTACGTCATGTATGCTTATTAAACGAGGAAGTATTCAACAAAAAAAAAAAAGAAAAGGAACAGAAAATAGTGGTACTTTTATTCGATCATATTTTGTTTTATTAGAATTTAAAATTATTTTCAAATAGTGATTGTCTTTAAAAGATTCTCCTTTTTTCTTTTCGATTGATTTAACAATTCAATTCATATATGTTTTTGATGATGATGAAGAAGTTTCTGTTAACAATCAAAAAAGAATGTAAAAGTAATACTTATACAATAAGTAAAAAAAAAAATTGCATGAAAAAGATCTCATTTAAATGAAATCTTATATATTACAAATAATAAGATTATTGAGTATTTATTGCAAATGAATTAAATACATACTTGATTGCAGTACAGTTTAGCAAACTTTTAATAGTACACGTACCAGTGAAGTAATAGATGCCATAACAATCAATTAAATACATAAAATCTACTAATATTAGTAAAAAATACAGTGAAATATTATCAAAGAACAATTTTACTTCATTTCAAATTGATCACCCGAGAAAATTTTATTATAAGAAATAAAACTTTAATTTATAATACTGTCGTCAGAATAATTTTAAAAAAAAAATTTTATTTAACAATTGTATTGGTTATTCAAATCTCTTCAAATAGCATAATCAATCCTCTAATTATAATGAAATCAGTTATGGTACTAAACAACCACTATGAAATAAAATCGTTGATTTTTTCCTTTTAAATTTCTCAGTACGAATTTTTAAAACATGAAATGAGTAGCTCCTAACATAAATCAATGAGAGGAAAACAAAATGATAAAAGATGATTATTGTCGTTAAGCTTTGAAAAAAATTAAAAAAAGAAAAAACAAAAATATCACAGGAAAATTACATTGAAATATTATTCGCTTCAATGAAAGAAGTGTAACTTTCATGAGCAAATAAGGAATTTACTGATGGGCTGATCGATCATAAAATAACGGCAAAAGTGAACTCGGAAGATGGAATAAACCTGTTCCCGTAATATCACATTCAAGGCGCATCATTGCTACCTAAAAGGTGTAAGTTATTCACTGTTAAACATTACTGGTGCACTATTCATACTTCATTAGCAAATAATATTATAAGTAATCAACTAAGGCATATCACATGATCAACAGCTAATAAAAAAAGTTATTAATTCTAAAGTTTTCCACTGAAAGCAAACCTGATTTGGTGTTTGATATCTCAGGAAATACAACAACAGTATACACTACCATCAAAGAGTTGGGGAAAAAATAAGGTTTTATTAGGCTTGTTAGGTAAACACTTAGAAAAAAAATTCAGTTGAAGTAACCAATGTATATCACATTGAAAATATTATTTTTTCATCGAGATGAATGAAAAAAGATATTCCTATGAATGAATTTTATGCATTAGCAGATAGTTAAAATATCAACTGAAGTAATCAATGCATCATCACATTAAAAATATTACATGAATTTTCCACTGAAAGCAAACCTGATTTGGTAATGTACCATTAAATGATAGAGCAGGTAAAATAAGAGCCATACGTGGTTGCATTGTACTATTTCGATCCGTTGCTGGTAGCAAATAATAATTCTGAAAGAAAAAATAAGAAAAAAAAGAAACTTTAAACAAATGTGATCAAAAAAATTTATAGTACATATCAATAGAATTGTTTACTATTATTTTTAAAACTACTATTAGATAATTAATGAAGAAATTGATGTTTGATTGTAGGAATGAGAACAAAAAATATTTATTAATAAAATAAAATGAGAAAATAAACAATTAACCTTCATCGCAACAATGTAAAGTGTATCTTCGCGTTGTTTTAAATTTCGTGCAAGTTCTGCATACTGTGATTCCATATCCAAAACCGTAAGTGCATCTGTTTTATCTTGTAACCAATTAGTTAAGTAATGTTCGGAACTGATAACATTATAATCCATTGTTTTGCTAAAATATAAATATTTATTTTTTTTTTTCTTTTTTTCTACAACTAAAATAAACATGTATTTTGTTAAAAATAGTACTAGAAATATGCACCGGCATTATCAAATTAATAACTTCATTAATATACTTTTACTACTAATTAATTAATATTAATTGTACAATGTGAAAAAAAAAAAAATAAAATAGAATTATTTTTTAGAAAGATATACACTTGTGATTTGATTGCTGTATTGTCAGCAGTAGAGCTAATCATATCAATATGTCTCCATGTACGTTCACGTATTGCTTTTAAACGTGCGGCTTCCATTTTGTCATTTGCTGTCCTAACAACAATTTTGAGTGTATATAATGATTTTAAGTATATATAAAAAATTTTTAGGATATAAAAATATTACAAAGATCAAAATCATTGAATATTATTTACACTCGATGTATAACAATGAAGCAATTTAATGTTTACTAAAACAATTATTTTAATAGCAAATTTACAAAAAATAAAATACATTTTTTAAAATTGTAAATGTATAATAAAATGATAATATCTTGAAGATTAGCATTAATACAAACCGCTGCTGACGATTTTCTCTACGTTTTATCTTTCTTACCGCAGCATCTTGTACAGATTTCATTGTTATATTCGGGGTTGTTAGCCCTCCGTTTATTGGAACACGAAATATATGTCGAATATGCACAAATTGCAAACATTCATGCCGATTAATCCATGCAAATACATCATTATTCAATCTGCAATAATATATCTTATTAAAGTGAGATTAAAATTTTGACAGATGAAAAGAAAAAGAGAATTTACTAAAATTAAAGCTATAATAATAAATTTCTTATAAATATTACGAAATAATAAATTAATCAATGTTAACCGAAAAGATAATAAATACAATTTGAGTTTTACAGATTTATACAAAATATTTTCCTAATATTATTTCCTAAGAATTCGATATTTTATTCAAGAAAAAGTTCTGCAATATATAAAACAAATATAATTCAAACAATGAAACTACTTCTTTAGAGTTATAAGTTTAAGAATTTTTGGAAGATTAGAACATAGTACCAATGATAACTTCAAAACCTGGAAAACCCCACAAATGGGGTAACATAGGTTAATAACTGAAGATCTGAATAATAGTGGTAAATCAAATGAGATAATTGACTAAAACTTTACCTCAGTTACCTTTTCATAAATTCAATGAGTGTAGTTCTTAGTATCCACCACTTTGAAATAGAGGCCAAATTATTATTTATCAAATACGAAAGAGTCTAGTGTTTGATTAACAAAATATTAATATTGGAGCAAATGTAGAGAGATAAATCATTTGACCTTAATGTTGAATCCTCCAATAGGCTAAGGTTAAGCATAGTTTTTGGAAATTTTTGAAATTCCTCAGCTAAGATTTGAATTTAGAAAGAACACAACAAACTTCATTGCTTCAGTTTGATTTAAATATCTCTTCTGCATGCTATCACATTTCGCTGAATAGTTCAGGTTTGATTGAGATAAAGGATCAGACTTCCTATTTGATTGTGAATTTCCCCTTGATTCCTAAAAAATATTTAATAGTAAATATATAAATAGAATTGTAATTGAAAATTGTAAGAGAAAGATTAAATTATTAAATAACACTAAAACACAAAAAAAGATAATATAATGTTCTAAAATGAAAGAAAATTAAGTAACAACAGCAACTTACTGAGCCAATATCATAATCCAAAGAAAGAAGAGCTCGATCAGCCTTTATTCTATTTTGTGAAAAATATGCATTTGATTTCGCAAAATTTAGTGCAACAAGACTTATTGCATCAGGAACTGGATCCAAATTTCTAAAACCATTTAAATTCATTTCAAAAGAAAGACTTAGAATCATCTCTTTAAATTTAATATTTGTGGATAAATATTCAAATATCCGGTAGTACAATAAGAATAAAAGCAACTTAACTAGTGTAGGTGCTGCTAAAAGATAATAATGAAACAAATCCGAAAAGACAAACAGCGCCAGCTGTAAGCATACTTAAACGACCACCGCTATTTCGATTATTAGCGTTTGATTTTAACACTTCATTCTAAAATCGAATCTTTAGAAAATCTCGAAAAAATTGAAGTATAAAACAAAAATGGACAATACAAATTAGTTAGTCACAATACACTAATTTATTACATAACCTCTCCAATACGATGAATTTAATTCTTTAATGTCTATCTTCTATTTAGCTTTGTTCAATAGCAAAAAAAAGAAATACTTCAAGTCTCAAGTTGAAATTTTTTCAAATCCAAAAATTGCAATTATTTCTATCAAATTGTCAACAATCAGTACTTTAATGCTAAATTTAATTAACTGATAATTTATGTGCAAGCCAATACTTGAAAATTCATCTGTTCAGTTTATATCGGCAATACACAAATAAATTTCTCAAAAATTTCCAAATTTTCTTTAATTTATTGAGTTGTACCCAATATGCTTATTAAGAGTACAAATTATATTAAGCTAACATCTATGAATTCGTTATGTAAGATAAAATTTAAGACACATAGATGTGTCTCCTGCACAAATTTAAAATGCGTTACTTACGTGCTTCCTGCACACGTGCTTATTTGTTACATTTGTTTGTAAAATAGTAACGACATAATAATGCTAAGAAGATAAGCATATACCTCTCTTCGTAAAGTTTCAATAGTTTCATTTAAAATTTCGATTTTATTTTTCAACTTCTCGATAATAGTATCTTTGTTAGCCAAATTTCTTTTCATTTCATTGATTTCCTAAAATATTTAGTGAAACGAAAGAAAAGAGAAAATGAGGAGAGAAAAGAAAGAATGAGAATCATATTATTCTCAAACTAACATTTTTTTTCCGAATCCGAGAAAGTTGCGCCGAGTATCTGTTCCGTATTTTTCTATCCTCTTTTTTACGATCATAGTCCTAAAAAGAAAAAAAAAAATCGCAAAATGCACGGATGAATTTCTATGAACAAAAATTTTATATGTAAAATAATATTGATATTAAAATGGTGCAATAAAAAAAAAAATGGAAAAAATATTCCTCATGGATTAATAATAAGATTATAGAAACAAATAAAATGTCCGTAAGATTTCTTTGGTAATTCAGTGTCAAAAATAATAAATTAACTAATGGGAAATGTAACAAAAGATAATGCAAGCAAAGATCATATAATATCTTAAGAAAAACTTACAAAATAACATCTATGCACCTGTGAATACCTTAAATACAAATAGTTTACCAAAGAAAAAGTAAAAAAAAGGGTGGAAACAATAAAAACGATTCGTTTACTTCACAGTGTCACAAGCTAGTGTTCAAAGATTAAATTAATTAGCTAATATGAAAAAATGGCTTAAAGTTCGCTAGCAGTATGAAACATTAACTTATATCTAGTATCACAACACCTACCACAAAATGAATATTCATTTTGGTACTTCGTTCTGGTCTGCCATAATGTGCAACACCATTTGATAATGCATTGAAAAGATTATTCACAGAAGTAAGGACAGTTGCATTTACATTCTAAGAAAGTGGAAACATTCTAAAAGATTATTTGGTCCATTTTAAAGATGGAAAAATGTGTTACTTTAAACAAAGGAAAGAAAAAAAGACACAAAAAAACAGCTTGCAAAAAGAAAAAAAAAAAAACGGACAGCACGATTTGTAAAAAAATAAAATTATGAAAAGATCAGAATGAAAAAAGTGAAGAATGTGAATGATAAAGTAATGGAATCTTAATGTTTCTAAAGTTACTTTAGCAGGAGTGCTTGTAAATGCTGATGTTGATGATGGTCTTTCATGTTTCGGCGATAGAATCCGTTGTTTGTCTTGATTAGCAGCTGGCTGTGACTAAATTGGAATATCCAAATTAATGTCTATCTCAAGTTTCAAAAAAAAAAAAAAAAAAAAAAAAAGGCAAAACAATAAGTTCGAACAAACTACATCAAAAAATAGACAGAACTGTGGTTGATAATATCTGAAGCAAATAACTATTTAAAACTTACATTATCAGAAATGGAATGGGTTACTGTCGGCATAATGCAAATCACTGGATGACTTGACGTGCTTTTACCATTTGTTAGAATCTGAAAAGTTTCTATTAACAATGTTTAAGCTCATTTTTTAATCGGCTATAGCTTTAATAAAACTTATCTATTACATTCATATTTTATTATTGTTAAGGAAAAAAAATAAATACAGTAAGTTTAATTTCTAAATATATTTATTGTGCACTTGTTCCATATCAAAAATAAGGAATACGGCATGGGGCACAAAAGACATTAACAGAAGAAATGGGATCATTATATAAGCTTAAGCTATAGGAAAAAATTACATGCATTGTAACTATACAGTACATTACTTACTACTGAAATAATTTTAAAAATTATAAAAAGAAAACTTATTTCTATTAGAAAGGTCAAAGTATAAACCTGTTGAAGTGGAATCTGAACGGGAACAAGATGACTTGGATTAGGCGTTGCAGCGAATTTCGTTTCCAACTGATTTATTTGTGAGGCTTGCAAGAAATTTGTAATTCGGTCATTATCAGAAGCATTTTGATCCTTTAAAAACTTATCATATATTTATTTACTTTTTTTTTTGATCTTTTAAAATCTGGTAAATAAATATTTATTATTTCAAAAAATTTCACTAATGTCCGTAGTTAGATTACTCGATTATAACCTGGTAAATTATTGCATTTAATTAATCTTGCAAAATCTCACAATCATATTCAATGATTTTTTTTTTTTTTTTTTTGCGAAATCACTTTAAATAACTTTAAATAAGTAACCAATTATTTAGCCAAATACATACATCTGAGGTAGAATATGTTGGCGAATAATTTCCAGAATCACTGGTGGATGGTGAAGCATCGTTAGGGAATATTTGATTGATTAAATGATTGTCAAGTGTGACAGTATCAAATATTGATGAATCATCTGTTACAAATACTCCATTATTATCTTGTGAATTCAATTCAAGTCCCAAATTATCAATAATTTCCGAAAGCTAAAAGTATCAAATCAATAATGTGTAAAATAAACGCATTCTAAATATTTAATGAAAAAACAAAGAAAAAGAAAAGAATTGATTTATTATTTTAGAAATTCTTACTGACATTGAATATCAACGATTTATACTTTGTATAATTCATTAACAATCGAGAAAAGATTCAAGAAATGTAAGTGATGAAGAGTTGATAACTATAAGCTAGCTTTCTGGATAAATGATAAATAAAAAAGATAACCTGATCATTCCTTTGTTCATTGGTACTGTCAAGATTGATACCAGAATCACTTGGAGAAAGTAAATTCATCAGATGAAACTGATTAAAATTATTCTCCAAATAGCAATAGCTATCATCAAAATCCATTACGGAATCAAAAAAGAATAGTTTACAGATTAATTAGAAACATTAATAGAACAATCCTGAAAAACAATAAATTGTAAAAATACACGACATCACATATATATTAGATAAATACAGTCTTTGCACAGAAATGAAATATGAACAAATTAAGAATGAAATAAAAAAAAATGAAATACTATGAAAGAAGTCAATTAAAAAAAGTGCAATGAAATAATTGGTAAAAAAATAATAAAGATCATAAATATAAAGTCAAAAACAACAATTATAAATAGTGTATGTATTGTAATGACGGCAGGGAGTGAGAGTGAAAATTAGAACACATTGTAAGATATGAAAGAATGAGAAAAATTATAAATATTCCTGTATTATAATAACAGCAGAGATTAAGACTAACAGTAATATATCCTTCTTTTTACAAAAAAAGTGCTAGGATTGACCAACGATTATGATACTCAATTTCTCATCAAATTACTCGATCACATTAAATCGTTGGCTATTTGTCCCATTACCTTACCAGGCGGGGATTTTAAAAGAAAATTCTTTAATTTAATTTGAAATATCTCATTGTAAGCAATTTGTTACTTATACTATTTTAGCAATTAGCAATTTCCGTGACGTTGTAATACACGTGCGTCATCTTATCATAACTTTTTACCCTTTTCATAGAATGTAATTCGGGTAATTGCATTTTGTTAGAGATTTTTAAGAATACGCGCTTGAATATACTTTGTATTACCTTTTAATTTTATATTGATCCATAATAATAAAGCGGGAATATGTTTGGAATATAAAAGCATTTTCGAATTAGCTACTTTTTTCTCTTTCTTCATTCCCCTCTCTCCCTCTCTCCGTTTTTTCTCTTTTGCATTCTTTGCTAGATGTCATTTTACAAAATCTTTTATTAACCCTATAATATTTTAAAATCATCTGGTAATTTCCTCATAATTTTTTGTATTTTGTTATAGAAGATGTGAATTATACTTTAGAAACTTTATATTTCGATTTTTTGTTTTAGTTATAAAAGTGTTGATAGATGTTAAAGTTATCATTTTATTGACTTTTTCATTAATCTTTCATAAATCAACAACATTACAAGCCAAACAATAAGTAAAGATGAGAAGTAATTCGAGTAATAGCCCTATTTTTTTAATGAAATTGTCCTATTCTTTCTTTTTAGCAGTATGAAATTTTTGTTGTGGTAAGAATAAATGATGAAAATTATTTATAGTGGCGTTAATGAAGTGTTATGTTAAGATGTATTAGCATTTCAGTTTGCAAAAATGGATTCAAAACGTACAGGTGCAATCAGACGTTGGGTTAGTTTATTGTTGTTTATTACTGTAATTATGATTATGCGAAGTTTTTTCTTTGCTTTTTTTAAAAGTGTTATTTGCTCATGATATGAAAGATTGCTTTCTTTTATTATTTATATCACAATTAGAATAACTGCCATACTTGTTTCTTGTTCAGACCTTTAGTATCAAATTTCTTCAGTTCTAAATTTATTGCTATTATTATTTAATATAATATGTAAAAATAATATGTAAGAATAATATGCTACCAATAAGGTAAAAGTTAAGATTTTAATGTTTATGTCTTTTTAAAATAGTTATTGCAGTTTGAGCAATTACTAAAGATCAAGTTAGATATTGACCCAGTAGATGGTTGGGCATTGCTATATAAACGACACATATCCGTTATCACTCATCTACTGTAAGTTTTTTTTTTTTTTTTGATACTGTGGAAGCCATTTTATTATAACCTTAGTGTTAGAGAAGAAATGGAAATTCCTGATAGTTATGCCACTTTCTAAAGAAAAATTCTTTTTTTTTTTTGAGATTAAAACATCCAATATTTGCTATATTTGATTGAGATTTTCAGTATTACTGGTAAATTCAAAAAATGCGAGGAAAAGTCGAGCCAGGATGCATACACGAAAGCATTTCAAGCACTAACAGACCAGATGACAGATGCTTCGTTTCTGGAGTATCTGAAACCAGATTTGGCTGCGATGGGTGATAATTTTGAAGTGGCTAAATTTTTAGTCGTTTTCTTGAATGAATTACGAATAAGTTTGGAAGTGGTTTTCGAAGAAGATTATGGGCTAAGTGAAGAAGAAAATAAGCATATTGGGGCGGTATTGCATTATCTGGAAGATCATCAAAACTGGGATCACTATGAATCTTGGCCTGCAGTGCTGTTCGAGAGCGGTGAATCTACAGATTTGAAAAGTTTTATTACTCCCAAGGTTTGTTTCATGTGTGTTCCAATAGTTTCTGGCATTCACATTTTTGAGAACACCAATGTGTTATGTATCAGTCAAATTGAAGGATAGTTCTTGTATGTTCACTTTCTTCTTGAAAAACCAAATCTTCCAGATCTGTCGTTCAAGTCATTATGGAAAAACGGATATAAGACGTAGTCCGCTTTCCGAAATCGTCTCCTCTCCTCGTTCACGTGAATTACGAATAATACGTGAAAAAGATAGAAAAATAAAGGTTTTTATTTTGTATTTTTTTTTTAATTTCCCAAATTTTCGGTGAAATAATTCTGAAAAGAAATTATGCACGCTTCTTAAATCTAAATCATAACAATTTAGACTCTAAGTGAAAGATGCAAATTACTCGAGTACGAAAAAGATGATTTGGAAAGCTTGCTAAGAACTGCTAATCAGGAAATTAAAAAACTTGCAAAGAGGTTCCTACATTTGTCTGCAACCTTTCTCACATCTTTCCGCTTCATAATTAGTTTTATTCCATCTACTTTTGGTGTATTATTAAATTATTCGCTAACCTTATCTGTTCTTTATCTTCCATTATCAACCATTGCCTCATTTGGCGTCGCATAGTTCATGATTTATAGCCTTAGCGAAATAACTTGCGCTGTGAGTGAGAAAGATGCACGTTGTCACACTCTTGGTACAGAATTGGATGAATGGCGAAATAAAGCGGCTACAGCTGAGGAAGAATGTAATCAACTAAATCTACAATTGAAGACTGCAAAACAAGAACTGCATACTACTCAAGTAAAATTATTAAAATTTAACTATTAAATGTTTCAATTTAAAACAAATTTACAAACAAAATGTTTTGTTTTCATTGCTGCTGTAGCCATCGCTTAATGTAATTCGTGAAGTTTATCACAAAACGAGTTTCTTACTTTTAAAAAATTTTTTCCTTCATTTTACTGATACCAAAGTAGATTATTATAGAGACAGTTGCGTGAAGCTGAATTTGACATTTCATCTAAACAAAGAACCGTTGAGAGTTGGGAAAAAAATGCGACACTTGAGAAACAGTGGCGATTAAAAATGGAACGAGAACGAGATGTGCTTTTGCAGGTGCGACGAATACATAATAGCGTATATGCATCCTTGTTGATGATTTGAACGAGATCTTTTAATAATTTATAGTTTAATTAAGGAGCTTGAAGTGGCACGAATCTCGAAGGCAACCGCTGAAGAGCAGTTGCTACGCCTCACAACCAATGGTGAAGCCGAAATCGCAGAATTGCGAAATATTATCGATGGATTGCGATCGGATGTTAAGGAAGCGGTGCGTTAATTTTTGAATTTATATGAACTATAATAACTGTTAATTTAGCACTTTGTGAAATTTTAATGCTACAGCGACGAGAAAAAGATGAAGCATTGATCAATCAAGACGAAAAACTGAGAATCAAGGAGTCGGAGATTGCGAAGTCTGCCAATATGATTACAGAGATGAAAAAGCAACTAAGTGTCACCCAACTTTCTGTCCGAAACATCCGCAGTTTAGCTGTGCAGGTATATTGCTACTCTGTCCATGAAACTCGATTTTATCTTAATTTTTAAAATTCAGATATCTTCAAGAACCAATTTAAGGATTTTAAGGATTCAGATATTTTAAAAAATCGTTTCCTTGTGAAGGAAACATATTGAGATGCCGATTAATTTGTTATGGTTTAAATACTTAAAGTTCCGCAAAAAAGTTGTGTTTTTGTAGATACGAAAGATTTGTGGTGAATTAGAAAACAGGCGGACCGATATTCAGGGTCTACGACTGCTGTTTACCGGTATCCAGAACAGGTATCAGGCTTTAGAGGAAGAGAACGCACAGAATACAGCTATGATTGATAGTCTACGAAACAATGTATATATATATATATATATATTAATAGACTTATTGTTAGTTTACTGAACGGTTATGGTAATGAATGTTCTTTATGGAAGTGACAGGTTGTTTTAGTTTTTAATGACAAATGTTACGTGTATAACTTACTCATTTAACTGATAATAAATATTTTATTTAGATTTTTGAAATATTTTATCCTGAATAAAAAATGTTTTTTTTTTTTATGTTGCATAACTAACCAAAAATATTTTATAGGCTGCCATTAGTGAATGTCAGTCTCAGGCATTAGCTGCATCGTTTGAAGAGCAACGGAAGAAGGTATGTATGAAATAGAGAAGAATTTTTTTCATATTTTATCCAAAAAATGTCTTACTTCGGTGCAAATTTTTTGTTTTGTTTTTCAGCATGTAGAAGCAATGATGGCAAAGCAAGAAATTTTAAATGAAAAACAACGAATGTTGTTGGAAGCATGGAATCAATTGAATAGCAGTGTTGAGCTCAATATGCGTTTGCAGGACGAATTGATGCGACGAGATTGTATTTTTTTTTAATTTCAAAAGTTTAGAATTTTCAGGATTCAATATATCTGATAGTTAAGTAATCATTATTTTGTATTAAATTTTTACGGTGTCTTTCGAATTATTCCGTTATCACTAAACTAATGGCTATCATAAAAAACTGTAATGTGTGAAATTCTTAAAAAGATTAATATAACAGATTTTCAGTTTTCTTTTTGAGTGAATATCTGATGTTTTTAGTTGCATGTCACACTCTTGAGCAACGCCTTGCCTCAGCGGAAGAAAGATGCTCAACAATTTCTCAGCATTTTTCAGTCAGTAACAGCACTTTGGATAGTAAACCAGCTGAGGAAATGCCCAAAATAAATTGTCACTTCTCGGAAGTAATAGGTAATATTTCCTTCTGCATTTTATCTTTTTTATAACAAATAGTAATAAACACAACTTTATATAATATAACTATTTAATAGAAGTGTTATATCAAATGAATTGATACAAGTGTAGTGCATACGAATTATTCAACGAAAATTTTATCAGTGAAATGTAAGCAATTCTTAAAAAAAAAAAAAAAAGGAAAAAGTATCATTCCTATGCATGAATTAGTACGCACTTCAAAAATAGAATTAAATCATTTAAGATGTATCATCTGGTGCACTTCCTCATGATTTTCATCCACTTCCGGAAGTTGAAGACGAAAATGATCTGTTATCATCATCATCCGTAAATGGTGATCCATATATGCTAAAAGTGGAACCACAATGTGGTAGAATAGTCACAACGGATGAGTAATTTTTATTTCATTTAATTGTAGTTTTTGCTGCTTTCTTCATATTGCTTTCAATTTTGACACTATTTTATTTGTTAATGAAATTTTTATTTGAAAAATTTTTGTAAAAATTTGATAATATTTGCAGAGATTTTTTTGTTTTTTTTTTTTGTTTTTTTTAAGACAAGAAGAATTTAATACTTCTGTGGATAGTGAACGTTTGATTGAATTAAAAAGACGCAACAAAACATTGCCACCGCATATGCGCTCAACTTACGCAACAGAATTGACATACACTGCAAAACGCTTCCCATCTGAAAGACTGGAGGATGAAATCAAAAATTCCAGGAATTTTACACCATATCTGCATAAAGATTGTAATGATACATCTATTTTAATATCACCGGGCAATTTAGCCAAAACTAAGGTTAATGAGTTCTTAATTAAGCGTTTAGCTTTTTATCTGTTTCATATAACGTGATTCAACAAAAAGCTTTTCGGTTTAAAAAGTTTCAACGTTAAAATTATGGTTTAATTATATTTTAAATGATTATTGCTCGTAAAAGATATAAAACTAACTGATGGACGTTGTCAATTTCTTACTTTTTTTATTATTGCAAAATTAGCTTCTTTTTTTCTTTTTTTTTTCTTTTTTTTTTTCAGTATGTTTCACGTTCGTTACGCAGTGTGAAAAAACATTTTGGCAAAATATTGCAAGAAGCGAATACATCGAAGACAAGTATAGCTAGCAAAAGTCAAACTCCATTAAAATGGAAAAATTGATTATTTCATTGTAATAAAAAAGAATTTATTTTGTATGAAATTAAAATTTTGATTTAAATATTTCCACCATGTAATATAAGCATGATAAAAAGTAAAAAAAAAAAAAAAAAACTATGCATGAACTCGTTTAATCCCCTTTTGATTAGAATATTGATATTCAAATTTATCGACTTATTAACAAAAGCCTATGGCTTATTTAATCCAGTTGCTGCTTTATATCATCAATTAAAATGCAGTTATAAAAAATCAGACGGAATTTTATTGAAGTTTTTTGATTGCAAATGCAATTCTCACATACTTTTTTTTTTTATTTGGCCATTCAGTTTCATTATTCCGTACTAATTCTTAATCCTGTAAATATCAATTATATAAATTTTCATTTTCATACAGATATGATTATAGTTGATAAAAACTAATGGAATTTGTATTGTGATACATTAACAATAAGAATGAATAGAGCATATTATTTGACTACTTGAAGAATTCAAAATTTAATTTATAAATTAACGCCGAGTTATTATCAATATGCAACTGAATAGCACGTCTCTTGAAAGTGGATAGGTGTGTTTATGATTTGTTCAAATATAAGAGATTAGCAATGCATTTATTAAGGATATTTTCTTTAAAAATTCTGGATAAAATTTTTTTTGTTGACATTTTGTTTATTGTTAAATTGGGAAGTTTTCAGAACGGGATTCACTGATTTTGTATTATTTTTTGATATATATATATAAAAAAAAATTAATACCATAAACTTTTACTAACACAATTTCTGTTCACATCTCTATGTCAGTTATCATATCTACAGCACAGTGCTCAAATTTTTCAAAAAATGTTTTTCATATTTTATTATTAAGCAGAAAAAGTCTTCAAAATTTTTTAAAAAAAGATGAGCGGAAAAATGACTTGTGTTTTTTCGCTAAATCATCTTCCTTTTTTCAATTTAAAGTTAAGGCTAACTTTGAGCAAAATTTAAAAGTATAATTTAGGGCGCATGCAATCTTACGGTTGTTAATCTATGATTATCTTTTTGCTTCTGCAACTAGAATTTTCCATTTTATTAAACTTTCTCATTTAGTTTATCAAACTAATTATTTCTTCTTCCTTCTTTATTTTATTTTTTTTCATTTCTTTTTTTTTATTGTCTCTCTTTTTTTCTTTCATTTTTAGCTCAGAAAAGTCATTTTTTCAAATTAATAATGTTTTATTAATTTGAAAATTTTAAATTAATGTCTGGAACGGTGTATTTTAAAAATTGCTTTCTATTACAATACCTTTAACGGTGCATCATTTATGATTAATTAATTCATTCAAATTAATTAATCTATTCCGAGTAATTAATTTCAAATAATTTTTCAAAAAAATTCATTTTTCTATCTATTAGTATCATTTTAAAAATATTTCATTTGAGAAATGAATTCCTGTAAAGCTAATCAATTCCTATAAAAGACAGTAAATTAATATTTAACTGCGGTTTAAAAAAAGTGGGTTTAATAAAGTTTCAAGATTTAGAATTCAGTTTATATGAACGAAATGGTACTTTAAAAATAATCAGTTGTTACCTACAGGAATACTTTTATTTTGCTAAAAGTTGTTATCTTTTACAATTTGCGACATTAATTAAAATTTATTCGAACATTTATTTTCATTTTAATGCTTGCGAGAATAATTTTTTTCTATAATGCAGATGTAATCAATCATTCAAATTCTCTTTGAATACTTAGGACGAAAATTTTTTGATAGAAAAAAGAACGCAACAAATATATTTAATAATGTATCTAAGAAATCAATAGAAAAAAAAAGAGAATAAAAAAATTTTTGAAGTAATTGAAAAATTGTGAAAATGAATGCTTTTCTGAAAAAAGTGAAAATAAAATGAATGTGAATTTTTGAGACGAGATTAAAAAAAAATGATTTTATAAATTAATTGATCAAAGTATGACGATAAAAAATAATACAATTATCCATATGATTCGAAATTATCAATAAGGATGGTAATTTTTATTATCAGCTAAATTTAATCAATTTGATTGGTTATTTGAAATAGGAAACTTAAAGTTGAAATAACAATGATATGTTTTATTTAAAATAAAACGATGCATAAAAAGAAAATAATTTTGAATTTATTGCCTTTTTTACTTCAACGCAAAAATTCTACAGCACTTTATTATCAACAATTCCATTTTCAAATTGCAAGAAATCAAATTTCCAAAATGCAGAGAAAAATGATAATGTAAATGTAAAGAAAACTAAAGAATGGACTAAAAAATATTTTAAATTCAGGTGCCGAAAAAAAACAGTGAAACAAAAAAAAATTGTCAGTGCTTCAAAATTATTGTGAGTAATAATAATAATTATAATAATACCATTAATAACGGTGACAATAATAAAATAATGAATAATACAAAATTAATTCATTCTTTTTCTCAGTTTATTTATCTTTAAAATGACTTTCAGATTATTTTAAAATTTGCAAAAAAAGAAAGAAAGACTAAAATGGGATAATGAATGAATTGTGGATGTATAGAACCGATGATTATCAGATATGATATTATTATGACAAGGTCTGATAATTGAATTATTCAGGTACGACTTTTCAAATAAGCAATATATTGAAGTGACTTCTAATTTAAAATTCAATCCTTTTTTTCATGATTTCATTTGTTAAAATGAAAATTTTTTAGCATTAAACAACATATGATTTTCTTCACAGCAGTATTATATTTATAAGTTTTTAATTTTTGAAAATTTCAAATCCATTAAATTTGTTCATTGCAAAAGAAAAAGAAATTTACAAAGAATATTCATGACAAAAAAAAAAAAAAATGTAGCAAAAAGTTTTACAATTTTTAGCATTTTAAATTTGTCTTTTATAAAAAAAAATATTAAAATTTTAATGAAATAATCATTTGTGAGAATTTATTAACAAATTTTATTGCTTTACAAGTGCTAAACCTGATCATTATGCATTAATGAATTAGTTGTTCCGTTTATGATATACCCATTGGTAACGAGCAAATTTAACTATTCCATTTATGATATACTCACTGATAAGGAGCAAATTTAATTATTTCATTTATGATAAGCTCATTGATAAGGAATTGCCTAGTGATAAAATAGTAGTAATAATTTATTTGTGCTTTTATACCATACTACATCGTCCATTAATTAATAAACGAATTTCTTCTAAACTATCAGTAGTGATAATAACAGGTACATCACCAACAATAATATCACTTGTAGTTGTTGTAATAGCATTATCATCATCATTACCAATACCTTTTAGAATAAATTCATCGGTTAAATTATCATTAATTATTGTTAATTGCTTATCAATTTTATCATCCATTATTTTCGATCTGCTGATTGGTAGTGATCTAAAAAAAAAAAAACATATCACATAAAATGTATTTGTTTTTTTATTTTGCACATATTTAAACTTTTTATATGTTTTTGTTTTTCTTATCATTGGATGAAAAAAGAAAAGTAATGAAAAAGAAATTATTAAAATTTAAAATTCAAAAAAACTAAAATTTTTTCTTTCGTTTAATTATTAACGCATAATTTCTTCACTTACTGCTTAGTTCACCTTAAATTGAGAAAAAAGTTTGATTTTTTAAAAGTCATAAAATTGTTTATATCAAATGTTTGACAAATAAGCAGATTAAAATGATCTTTCTCTATTTATCGAAATATCAAATTACTGATTATTGAATACAGATTAATTGATCGATCAATTAATGAAATATATGTAAGTGAATCATTCATTGAAAATTTTGCAATTATGTTGAAAATATAACATTTTAAGATTTTTTTTAAAAATTTTTCATAGATCATTTTTAGTTAAAAAGTTTAGAATGACACAAAAATATTAATTAACATTTCTGTTGCTAATTTCATTAAATTTGCCGGAAAGTTACAATGAAGGAAGTGGAAAAGTCTGTCATTCAAAATTTGACTAGAATTAAATTAGCAATTAAAAAAAAAATTAATCACTTACAATTAAGTCATAAATGAAAATTTGGAAAGTGTTAAAATAGAAAAGGAAAGAAATTTTATAAATTCTTATAAGACAAGAAGAAAGGAAGATTAAAGAGAAGAACAAAAATAAATGGTCAATAAATGATAAATTCAATTTTAACAAACAGGTATAGCGGATCGATCGAAATTGCAATTGGAAGTTAGATCAATTATTTGATCATTTTCCGATCAATTTTTCTCGTCGTACCATTTTCATTTAAACCATTTGTTAAAATATTTGGTAAAACAGCTTCCTGGTGCGTTGTAGCTATTTCCTGGCTTAAAACTTACTTTATTGAGTAAATTTTTTGATCAGTTAGAAATTTTATTTTTTGAAAGCACTTTGTTGCTAAGAAATAATTTAAAATAATGTAATACTTTAAAAAGAATCGAAATGGATTCAAAAACTCGTGCAACTAAAAGTGTTTTTTTCTTTTTTTTTTTTTTTTTTTTTGAAAATTGAATTGTTAGTAAACAAAATAACAGATATTTAGGTATTACACGTGATATAATTTCATCAAAAATGCTCTGATGGATAAATAATACACTATGATGCTAATTAAAGAATAAAAGTTAAGTTATCATTTACAGTTAAGTAAAACTTGGAAAGGTGTAAACATAAGGTAACAGGCAGTACGAAGAAATACAACAAAGGTAGAAGATAGAACATCAAATTAAGAGTAGCAGCACATAGTGGAATAATTAAGGAACTATAAGTTTAATATTTTAAAAAGAAAAAAGGAAAATGAATTAAATTAATTTGTATATAAACTATTAAGTGTCATATCGTTAGACAAATTAAAATTGATCAATTTTATTTTTTTTTTTTTCGTTTTGTTTAATTCTTGAAAAGGCTAAAAATGGTTAATTTAACACTGAAATAAATAAAATAGAAGAAAAAATGAAGATGCAAAATGACAAGTCAACAATTATTGCTAGCTATTATTTTCATTTTATTAATATTAATATTAATATTATTATCATTATTATTAATGGATAAGGAAAATTTTTAAATATAACTTAATATTTAAGTATTACAGAAACAATTTCTGATTACGCTATTCATTGCTTAATTATTAGATAACAGAAATAAAATTTTCATGATATAACAATTTTTAACGTAGTAAGTGCAAACGGATTACGTTTCTTTTTTCAATGAAATTTCATTTTAAAATTTAGATTATACAATTAACGATTTGCATTAGTCAATCATTGTTTTATTACTACTGTAGAATTAATTCCTAATAAGAATTTGTTCAAATAATAAATTACTTATTATATTTAATTAAATTCTTGTATTATATTCAGATTTTGATGTCAAACTTCAGAAAAAAATTACTTACTAAGCATTTATTAGTTTTGTTCCATTGTTTTTTATTTTTTATATTTGGTAAAATCTCAATAAGAATTTTTGAAATGTTTTAGCAAGAATTTTAAAATTAATTATTGCAAGCAAAAAATAACAGAAGCCTCTTTTGTTTGTTTGTTTTTTGACAATAATATGTTCAGTTGATCGTTAAACGTTGAGCAATTAATTAAGCATTGAAGATTATTGTGTAATTAATGATTTAATAAAGCCATGCATACAAGTGTTATTAAAATACCTTGAAAAATTGTTAGAATCACTAAAAGGTCTGCAATTATGTGTCGTAAAATATCTTCGTTTCGCAAAATGTGATGCTGGATTCATCGCTTGGCCTAAATTTCTTTTTTCATTTCAAATTGAATCAATTTTACTTACTATTTTAATGATTACTCACTCATTCATTTATTCATTTTTGTTAAAAATTTTCTTTTTATTAAGGTTTCAATAATTTGTTTTTATTTTTCTTTTTTTTTTTTTTGTCGAAACTATATTTTGTCTAGTAAAAAGTTAACAACCCTGAGTATAATCTTTCATAATTGTATGTAAAAAAATTTTTTTTTAGTTTTGTCGCACCAAAAAAAAAAAACATATTAAAATTGATGCCTTTTGCACAAAATTATTTTATTTAATAAAATTGTAAATTAAAAAGAGAAGGAAATTGAAAATTTTCAATAAAAATTTCAGTGTTAGATCAAAATATCTAATAATCATTTATATACAAATTTCGTTTATTTTATTTTTTTAAAGAAGAAAAGTAAAAAATAATTTACCAAAAATGCGGGATGGGTTTTTAATAGGTTTACAACGGATCATTTGAGAGCAAATTAAGCGAATATTTGGATTAATTAAACAATAAAAATAAAAATTGAGTGCAAATTTGGTGAATTCCATCACATTAATAATAGCTCTAATTATCTAAAATTTGAAATAATTAGCAAAAAATAAAGAATGATGATTTATTTTTAATAAGTTTACATTTGATCAAATAAATATTTCATCTTTCTCGAATTTATCGATTTTTTTCTCCGTTTTGCTTTTGTTCACAAACTTTCTTTTGATGTTTATTTCATTTTTCTTTTTTTTTTTTTTTTTAATTTTTATTTATTTATAACACCAAAATAAACTATAAAACTGAAATAATTTTGTCACAACTTTATGTGGAAATTTATCACAAATTGATTATTATGTTAGTATTAAAGATAAATTAAAAAATATTCGTATTTTTAAACATCGAAAAATTAAAATTGTATTAGAAAATATTGTAAAATTTGTTAATTTAATTTTACAAATAATTACTTTCTGTTTCTTTTCAAAAAAAACATAAAAATGAATAAATTAAAATAACTAACTTGAAATGGTACATTAAATGATCGTTTATCAGAAACAAATATTGTCAGTGGTGCAGCAGGTATTGTGCAAATGAAAAATATTATAATAATTGAAAATAACAATGTAAATAATCGCTTTTCTTCCTAAAAGAAATGAAACAAAATTTTTTTTTATATTATGTATTTTCTTCAAAAATTTATATATATTTCTTATAAATTCTCTTTTCTTATTTTCACATAAAATGCTTAAATCATCAATTTATAAGCGTTTAAAATTTAATTTTTATGTCAAATATACTTTATGCTAAAAAACAGTTGTGCTGAAATTTTTTTGCATAATAAAGCGTAGGAGAAAAAAAATTTTTTAATAGTTTAAAACAATTTATATTAATGTAACTTATTATTATGATTTTCTTTTTAATTTAAAATGAATATATAAATTAACAGAAAATATTATGACTAACTTGTTCACTTTTTGTTGAAATTTTTTGCTGGTTAGATGCAAGTCGTTGAAAGCGTTCCTTTTTAGTATTTCGATATGTGATTAAAATTTTAGAATTAAAATATGCAACAAGAACAAATGGTAACAAACGGCTAATTGTTTCACGACACCATTCATACACTTTATACCACATTTCAATTTTACGATCGCATACAACAAATTGACATGTGGCAAATCCTGGTGGTACCTATAAATTTAATAATTTGTAATGATTAATATCTTCTCAATCTTTGCTAGGGGTTTTTTGCCTACATACACGTATAAATCAAATTAAACTCTTCTAATTTTTTCCAGTTCATTCCTTCTAATTAAATTGAAATATTGATTTCCTCTAATTAAATTAATACCTTTAAGTAATAATTTCCTTGTTACAGCTGTTAAAATTTAATTTAAAAATTATAAAATATGTATGATTTAATATTCCCTATTGATAAAATTTATCGTTTATAAATGTTTTATTTTTTCATTGATTTTTTTTTTTCATTCTTTCTTTAATATTTGGAATAAATTTTGATAAATTAATAAGCATCAAAAAGAAAAAAAGATTTTTGAATGTATTTTGGGCAAATTGAAATGAATGAAAAATAAAAGAAAGAAATGCTAATGATGATTTAAATTTGAAAATTAACATGAAATTTCTTGAAAACCTCATAAAGAACTTTTTTTGCAGCCCATGGAGCATAGATACAAAAATTCATTACATAAGATGTGATAACCAATAATAAGCACATTTTTCTTGTCCTAAAAGAAAGAAAATCAACGGGCAAAATTAATTATTCAATTTAGCTATTAATAAAATTTAATAATATCTTAACTTTATCAGAATATTTGAAGATGCTATCAAATTAGTTTAAAATTGTAAATTTAATTAAAATAAAGTGCCTTAAAAACACCACAAAAATTAATACGCAAAACTAAATTATCTTTTGCTAAGGATTATTCCATTATAATATATATAATACTCAAAAAATTTCGTTTCATCCTACCATTTGTCACTCAAAAAAAATTCAGAAAAAATTAATATAATTAGACATAAAATGTTTAATATAGTTAAGCAAAAAAAGTATCTGAAACTATTTTTTTAAATTTACGAGTATTCAATTATTTGCTTTCAATATTAATGTTAACGGTTTGAAAAAAAAATTTCTTTAAATGTTTAAAAATTTAAAAAACAATCCAAAAAAAACATTTTAATCAAAAGTTTAATAATTTCAATGGAATTTGTTATAAATTGATAAGACCAAAATTTGAAAAAAAATTTAATTATCCATTTTGTTACTAACATACCTGAGATAACGATGATGAAATGGGTGACAAACAGCCATATACTGACTCATTGTTAAAAATACTACAATCCATACACTAGCACCCATAAATGCATTTACCTAAAAAATAAGTAATATCAGAAAAAGTAATATCTTAACGAGTAAGTCAAATTACTATCAAAATTGTAACATGATAAATGATGATCGAAATATAATAATTGACTAAATGCAGGTTGATAACAAAATATTTGTAATTTTTAATGGTAAAAAAATAATTGTTGAATTAATGATGAATTAACTGTTAATATGATAATAAATTAATTAAAAATTGATAATAAATTATGCTAAAAAATTAGTTGCAAATTTCGAAATTATAATATGATAACTGATAATCGAAATATAACAATTGATTGAATGTAAATTGTTAGCAAATAGTTGTCAAAAATCAATAAGAAATTAATTGCAAATTGATAATAAAATATGATAAAAAGTCAATTGCAAATTTCCATTTTCATCAAAAAAAAATATTCAACAATTCCAAAATTTATAAACTTTTTTCCAAAAAAAATTTAAAGACAATAGTTATGATATTCTTTTTCCACTTGTATTCTCGTCAACTCATTTTCTTGAAATTAAATTTTTCTAATTAAACTTCATTCTTTTACAGAAGTATTTCTGTTCATTGCTAAATTTTATCATTAAATAATATTAATATTGTTATTTTTTATTTTTTTCTAAAAGAGAAAATATCATAGCAAACATTGTAATTCAGGTATGTAACAGACAATACTCTTAACAAACGTATTGTAGTAAATAATAAACATATCGTAATTGACGTATGTAACATATAATACACTTAACGAACGTAACTAAATTTTATAGTATGAGCAATGATTGCAATATAAACACATATCATGATCATTTTTTTTTTTTTGTTTTCTTATTATGGAATATTTGATGAATTTAGAGATTAGTTGAAATATTGATTAATTAATAATTGACAAATTCATGACGAAAAGAAAAGTAGCCGTTATTAAAAAATACATATATAATTAAAATATTAATAATAAATTTACAAACCAATGGAAATCCAATATGAGCATAGTAAAGTGCTGATGGATAGGAGCAAAGACGACAATCAAGCAGCCACAAAATCATTGGTATCACTGATAAAAGTGTTGACTAAAGTAAAAGTGAAACGATAACTTAAATAAGTATTAGTAATTAATTAGTTAAAAAAAAATGTTTTGTTTTTAAAATTCAACAAGATTTTATCTTTCAACAGAAAAAGTATTAAATCAATTAAATAAATCATATTGACAAACAAAAAAAATTAAATAGAAATTATGGTAACAAATAAGCGAATGCTAAATAATAACGACCATAACTCGCTAAAGAAAATAACTCTGATTGTGATAGTACAATAGAAAAATCTCTTATTAGTAAAACAAAAAAAAGAACAAATGGAGAAAAAATAAAATCACAAATTTATTATTCAAAATCAAATTTTTGTCTGGATTTTATTTTTTCTAAATCTTAAATTTTTTATGAAAATCTAAAAGTTTATTTCATATATTATAACCAGTTGATACAAAAATAAGTTAAATTTATATTTGTAAAATATATTTAATTAAAAACATCATAAAATTTTTGAGAAAAAAAGGTTACCAGATCGGTAATAGCAAGTAATATGAGGTAGGTATAAATGATTGAAGATCGCTTAAATAAGGAACGCGTTAATGTTGCTACTGTCATTATGTCACCTAAAATAATAATATTATATTGTTATTTAACAATATTATAAAAATAAAAGTAAAATTGACGAATTAACATACTAAATCTAACTAAATATTTTTGTGCTATCATAATGAAATCATTGTAATTCATCAGAATCTATTGAGTGATATGCACAAAACAGCATTTGCCTTACTGCAATTAATTTCTTGTTTTATCATAAAAAATTAAAATTTTTATTAATTTATTATTTAGTTTATTATGGCACTTTTAAAAAGAACCCCTTAAAAATTTCTCACAAATCATCCATTTCATCAATTAAATCAAAATATTGAATAATTTAAAGCATAAAATAAATTTAATTTTGAAAAAAGAAAATGCATCTTCTAATTACTTTTTTTTCATTTGTATTAAATTTTGTAACAAAAAAAAAACTTATTATTACTATTCTTTTTTTGATTCAATTTTAAATTTCATGTGAATTTAATAAGCAAATGTAATTTTGCTAAATACATTATTAAAATTGTATCAAATAATGATAAAAAAAGAAATGAGGAATTGTACGGCATTTAGAATATGCAATTTATTAAGGAATAATTAATGAAAGTGTTTTAATGAATACTTTTATTTTTTTTAGAAATAATTAATAAAAGTATTTAAAAAAAATAGTAAATTTTACCAATGATACCAAATGATATGATAATTGGTGCGATATAACCATAAGTGATATGGTTTACAAGTGATACACGATTTGCATCTGTTGTACCATTAACAATTAATTTGGTAAAATAAATTGATGTAGCAGCATTATCATCAAGATTGGCATTATCAGAAATAAGTATAGAGCACAAACTTTGTGATATCATATTTCAAAATAAAAAAAGAAAAATTTAACAAATTTCAAAAACAATTAAATTATTTTAATTACTACAGAAAAAATACAGTGCAGAATAGAGTAATTTAGTTAGTAAAAACATTTATTTGCTAATAGATTATTTTAATATTTAACAAAAAAAAAAAGAGAAAAAGTAAATTGAACAAAAATGATTCGAAAAGAAGTAGTAAAAATAATTTTTTTGTAGTAATATGCAGCTATGATATGAATTAGAATAATAATAAGTAGTAGCAATATTATCAGCCAATGAAATAAAATGTTGCCTTTTTTTAAAAGAGAAATCAAAATGAAAACAGAATAATAGGTATTGATAGAATTAATGATTAATAATTTCTAATTAAAATAATCGAATAAATAGCAATGAAACATTATCATCGGAACCAAGTTTCAGTGCTTTTCGTACCAAATATTCCGCAACTCTGTAAATTTTTCATTTTAACAAGATAATTGATAGCATATTAAAAAAAATTTTCTTTCAAATTTTATTCATAAGATGGTTTCTATAGATTTTAAATGAAATATTTTCTTTAATAAAATTTATTTTAAAGTTTTTAATGGTGTATTAATGAAATAATTGAAGAAATCTTAAAATAATCGAAAAATACTTTTTGTATAAATTTTTGATTTATTAAATTTATAGGAATTTTTTTTCTTAATTTTTTCTTTCCACAAAACTTTAAATTGTTTAATATAAAGTGTATTTTATTACATTGAATTTAATTATTTCACTTTTCTTCTTTCACTCTCTACTTTTGTGCTACTCTCTCTCTCTCTTTTCTTTGATATAGAGAAACAAGAAAGGAAAGAGTAAATAAATAAATAATAACTTATGCCACTGATTTGATGATACACGTAGAAATGTTTGTGCGGAATGTATTGCTTCTTCATTTGTTAACACATCCCAAAAACCATCCGATGCAACGAGAATAAATTGCAAATTAATTTCATTCAGATCAATCCGGACAATATCCGGTTGTGCCGTTAATACAGAAAGTTGCTTTAATGCCGTATCACCAAATGCTCTATAAAAAAAAAAATAAATAAATAAACAGAAAAAGAAAAAATAACGTAATCATATTATTATTTAATTAATTTATGATTTTTTTGTGTTATTATTATAGCATTAATTAATTATGTGATTTATACCAATTAAAATCAATAAAATTTATACATAATTAATAAATTATCCAAAAAAGAAAACGGAATTAAATTTAAAAAATAATTAAAGAGTACTAAATTATAAAGCAATTATTAGATTATTATAAAATCGAACAAGATTTTGTTAACTATTTGTAATGATAAATAATTATTATTAGCTATGACCAAAAAAAAAAATTAAGACATTTTTTTCAAATTAGAAATTTCATTTCTTTTTTGATATGCTTAACAGTGGAAAGACTTCAAAGAGAAGGGGGAAGAGGAAAAGAGGGAGATAGAATGATGAAAAAGATTCAATCAAGAAATTTTCTTTTATTTATTACAAATTTATTATTATTTTTATGCAAACTGTTGTTCATTTATAACTACAAATAAAATATTTAAACAAAAAGAAAGGACTAACATGTTTTCTTCTGAAACTTTAAAAATTATAAATAAAATCATTTTTCGTTTCTTGTTTATAGGAAATTATGAATCTTTGAATGAAAAAAAAAAAATGAAATGAAATGGAATGAAGAAATAAGAACGAAAGAAAGCATTAGATATTATCTTTTAAGTACATATCATAAAAATCCATAAAATAAAAAGAAAAGAAAAAGAAAAAAGTTAGTCCTTCATATCTTATTTGATCAACAACAAATTAATCGTTGCCAGCCAATTAGTAAAATTAAAATAGCATATTTAAAATTGCCTTCGTTTTTTTTTCTTGTTTTTCTTTATTTTTTCTTTCTTTCTTCATAAGAAAAACTATGTGAAATTTCATGCATTCATTTTCAAGTACTGTTATTTAAAAAATAAAAAAGAAACGAGAAAAGGGAAGGAAACGTGATTTTTCAAAATGAATTTTGAAGAAAATGAAAAACATTTGCAATCAATTTCTATACAAATACATATACATATTTTTTTTTTAAAGGATGAATAAATAAAGAAAAGATATAATATTGCTAAACTAAGATGAGAACTTTTATCAACAATTATTTATTAATGCTTAAAAGAGAAAAAAAAAATTTTCTCTTTTGTTAAATCCAAAATTTAGTTTAAAAGAAATTTTTGGAAATTTAAAATTTTAATTTGCTAGAGACTTTTTTTCCTAAAAAGTTTTGCTTCTTTAAAATTTTTCTAAATGAAAATGACAAAAAGAAAATGGCAAAAAGTTTAGATAGTTATAGAAACGAGTTGATATAATAGAAAAAAATTATTGATTTTCCTAAAAAAAAGAAATTTCTTTTTTTTTTAGAAAATTACAAAAAATAAAGATGCTATAGTCAATTTTAATATTACTTTATAAATATTACAATTTAGGAAAGAAAAAGAATTTAATAATGAAGTAATTTTGAATGGCATAACCTTATTTAATGATAGAAATAGCAGTTAATATTTCATTTAAATTAATGCTTTAAGATTAATAATGAACATATTCTATTTATTCCATAGTTTTAGGAGAAATCGTTAGGCAAATTAATTTATTGCGGTGTAACATAATGGTAAAGGAAATGAAAAAAAAAATTCAATTTCAATTTGATATATTAAGTGAATTAAATGATTTGTGCATAATTACTTTATTTAAATTAAGTAAAATAATTTGTGCATAATTAACTGCATGTTTGTCAATTCGTATTAATTAATTCTAATTAAAGTTAAGAAATTTTACAGAAAATTGCTTCATCATTGTTGCTTTTTTTTTCTTTTTTTTGTCATTCTTTTCTATTTCAGAATTCAAAGGATTTAATAAATTAAAAACCTTAATAAAACAAATATTTCATTAATTCTATTTGCAAAATTATTTGAAAAGTTTACAATTATAAAAAAGAAAAAGAAAATGAAGGAGATCCTTGAATAAAAATTTTTTTAAAAAAAACGCTTAAAAATAATTACATTGATATGATCTCGTTCTCTCGCTCACTCTTTCTCTTTCTCTCCTCTCTCTATCTCATTTTTCGATTGATTGGAAACATTTTACCATTTTACTTTTTATTTTATTTTTTTAACTAATAGATTTTGATGATAGAAGTTAGGAGAAAAAGAAAAAAAGAAAGAGTAAAAAAAAAAAATGAGAAAAGAAAGGTTGCAAATAATAAAAAAGAGAAAAATTGGGAAGATTTTTCACACTTTTTCCGTTTTCATTTTCTCTTTCTCTCTTTCTCTCTTCCTCTCTCTCTCTCTCTCTCTCTCATTTTCATTATCATACTTTTAAAGTGAGCGAAGAAATTTAATTCGAATGATTTAATTGCTTCATTTCATCTATTACATCGAAACTTTAAGAAAATTGACAAATTCTTTTTTTTTTTGAATAGTGCAAAAGTTTCTTTGATCAGATAGAATTTTTATTTTACACATTAAAATTAAAATGACGTTTTTTCTTCTTCTTCCTTTTTTTACTTTCTTTTTCATTCCTTTTTTTTTTTAGTTTCTCTCTAAATGATTTCAAAATTTTTTAATCTAATGATTTATGGAGTAAATTTCAATCACTTGAAATAAATAAATTCACTTTCTTTTTTATTATTTTTCTAAAAGAAAAAAATGATTAAAAATTTTATTGGATAAAAATTGTTTTGTAGCATTTAAAAAAGTAATATTTTACTAAATTACTAAAAAAAAAATTTTTTTCGGAACAAATTGATTTCTTTTCGAATGATTTTATTTATCTCTTTTCGTTTTTGGATTTTCGTAAACCTTTTTTAAAGTATGTGAACAACTTTATTCATAGTAAATTATAGTGGAATTCGACAGCAAAGGGAGAGGGAGAGAAAGAAGGTGAGAGTGAAAAAAAAAACGAGGAAGGTGGTTTACTTTTTTATTATTTACTTTATTTTATGAAAAAAGTGAAAGTCAAAATATTTTTATTTCTATATTGAAAAAGCAATTTTTTTTTTTTTTTTTTATAATTAAAAAATGAAATGATTTATTTGTTCTTCTTCCTAGTTTTTCAATTTAAAATCTGTCAAAGTCAGATGGGTTCGATTGATTAAAAAAAATGCTTATGAGCGACTTAAGCTTAGATTTTAGTTGTTTAAATGACCTTTTAACAGGGACAAAATGAAATTCAATGAGGTATTATCATTTTACAATATAAAAAAATTGAGAAAAAAAATGAATAAGGAAATATTTTACATTTATTACTTCATCGACCAATTAATTTTAAAAAATTAGAATTTTAATGGAATAAATGATAGTAATTGATAAGCTAATGATATGGTACGTAAATGTAAATATGAAATAATGACAAATGTACGATTTAACTACTTGACTAAGTAAATCTAATACTGCTTTTTTATTTTATTTTGCATTTTTTTTTTTTCAGAAAAACTTTGTAGCAAAAAAAAAAAAACCTTGAAACAGAAAGAATTCCTTGTAGTCGTTCTACACCACGAAATTCAATGAAGCCACCTGCATTTTCAATACGTTTTCGCTCATTTTCCTAGAAAAAAAAAAGAAGAAAAATTGCCTCGGACAAATTCTATTCATGTAAATGGAAATGCAACATATAATTAAAATTAGGATTAGACTTTTTAGTAGCTTGGAATCTTTAATGAATGATAATTAAAAGAAAAAATCCGGAGAATATTATTAAAAATCATTTGATGTCGTATTCTTTCTCAATAAATTACTTGAAATCAAATAATTAATTAAAATATTAATCTTTCATTCTCGTTGATTGATTTCATTAATAAGTGCTGGAAATTTTAAAAATACATTCCTGTTGATTGATTGAATAATAAATGCTAAAATTTAATATATTTTATTTTTTTCTTTGACTGATCTTGTATCTATCTTTTATCAACAATATAATTAAGCATAATATCATCTAAGGATAACAGCTGATAGCATCTTCTAAAGCAATTATTAGAATTTAAATCGAAACGATCAATAACATTCTTTTCTTTTAATTTCACTAGTTCATGATGACATTTGTCGCACACAACATTAGAAGTGTTATCAGACATGATAAATTTTTAATCAATTTTTGAATTTGATTTTATATCAGGTGAATTTGATGATAGCTACAACAAATTAGCTAATTGTTTACTTGTTAATTAATCATTAATTATAGTGTAAAAATTGCTACACAAAAAACATGTCAAAAATTATGAAAAACGATGATAATTCAATAAAATTAACAAATAATAATTATCAGTAGTTATTTGACACGGAAATTTTAAACATTTTTTAGTAATAATTAAACATGAAGCAAAAAAAAGCATAAATGCGAAATGTGATTTAATTAATTTAATTAATTACTTTTGAAATTATTAAAGGAAACATTAGTCATTTTAAAACTGTTTATTAAATTAAAAAAAAGATGAAATATTTTATTTTAATCTTCCTTTCGCCTTTTAAATGAGTATTTTTTTTTCCTAAATAAATATTGCTTTCCAAGTTATTACTTAACTTAAAACTATCATGTAAACAAAATTTCGTTTTCTTCCTTTTTCAAAACAAACAAAAAATCCACTGTATACTCGCAAATGAATCATTGAAAAGAGAATAGAAAATGAAGCGAAGTAACTTTTGTGTGATTCATATTTATTTCATTTATTTGATAATTTTCTCTTTTTTCAAAAAATAACACGATGACATTTTAATTTTTTTCTATTTTCTATTAAATAAAAACTAGTAGTAATAATATAGTAAGCAAGATAGTAATTCATAAATTCCACTGAATAAATGAAATTTTTGAATAAAGAAAATAGAAAATTTCAGTTGAATTTAAAATTATAAATAAATCTCAAATAAAAGGATTTATTATAAATAAAAATTGTGCTTGTTAAAAAATTACTATCAAAAGCTATCAGAAGTAGCGGAGGAAAAATTCATAATGCACAAAAAATAATTTCATTTTAATATGAGTTAAAATTATTCTTGATATATACGCCTAGTATTTACACGTTCATTTGACGTATTTACCAAATACCAAATATACGTCATAGCATTTGCACTTTATTATTTAAAATAAATTTTCCTAACAATTAATTTATGCATACCAAATATACTATTTTTAGCAGTAATAATTAAATGCCGCAGTAGACAATTTTAATTTCTTGAAAAGCAAAGCAAAAAAAAAAAATCAGTCTTTAAATTTGAAAATTTGTCATTTTTTTTAAAATGATAGCCTAACAGCTTAACATAAACCCTTCTATTTTCGGCTTTTCTGCTTTCTTTTTTTTTTTTTAATATTTATAAAAAATGAAACTATAAAATAAAAAAAAGAATGACAGATTTTGTAAAATAATTTTAATCGCATGAGTCAATTATCAAATTTAATTAAATCATAAAATTCAATGGTTCACATTGTAGATCTGAGAAGGAGGAAAGAATGAAGAGAGAATGAGGAATGAGGTCAAAGTTGCAATGTAATAACAATATTATTTATTTTTGACGATGGAATTGCAATATTTTTCACATTTCTCAGAATTTAATCAATATAATATTTGAAAAGTCTTTTATAATATACACAATACCACTTATTGTAACGTGGACAATATATAATGAATAATTGAAAGTAGAAAAGAAGAAATTATAGCAGTTAGTTATTCAAATTCATTTAAAAAGTGAGTCATTCAGTTTATTCAAAAATTTGACGTTTTTTTTTTTTTCACTTCAATTAATATATTAAAAAGCACAATTTTTCATTCCATATGATTTGTTTATATTTATTCATTCAAATATTTTCCTTCTTCTTCTCTCTCTATCTCTCTCCTTCCTTATTGAATTCATTAAATTTAAAAAATGTGTGTAAATTTTGATAAGTACTAGGGAAAAAGTTTAGAGAGAAAAAATGGCAAAATCGAATTTACTGATGAGGCTTGTCAATTTTATAGCTATGAAAATACTTTAAGCATTATTTTATTTAAGTATTTTTAGTTTTTGTTTTTTCGATCCTTATTTTCCATGATTTCATTTTTACTTTTTATTCAATTCTTTTTTTGTTGTTGAAATTTCAAATTATTGCAGTAATCCAAGCAAAAAATATTGAAATGAATTATTTTTGTAATATGTATATTAATAAAATTAAATAATTTACATTGCTGTAAATAACATATTTATACTTTAATATTTAGTAATTGAAACAGCAAAACAAAACATAATTTTACAATGCAATTAGTGATTTCAAAAAAAAAACGAAAAAAATTTTAGTACATTTTTATTTAATTAATTCAGCAATAATTTCAAATATGCCTTTAATAGAAAGTTTTCAATGACTTTTAATTTTAAAACCAAAATCAGCTTTATACGGCAAAATTTCACATTTTTTTAAAAGTACAGCGTATTGCATAGAAAAAAAATTAATTATTTCATTTTTTCCAATTTTTTGCTAAATATTTATACAAATTAAATGGTAGTTATTCCAAAATTTTTAAATAGCTCATAATAGGTTCTAAATTTCGAATTTGAATAATTGATATAACTGAATAAATTTTTTTTTTCGCTAAGTGTAAACACTATATACACTTTTTGTTGATAAAATAAAATGCATAAAACCTGATCATTAAATTTTTTCGTATTATTTTTCGACTTTTTACTAGCAAAATTTTTTAACAATTGCTAGTTGCCTCTAAATTTCAATAATTCATAACAACAATTTTAAATTTATGATTTAAATAATTAATTGTTTGATAAAGCTTTGACTTCAAACTAACAAAAAAGCGAAAGAAACGAATGATAAAATAATTGCTCATTTATAGAATGAAATAAATGATAAAAAGTGTGTGAAAAAAAAAAAAATGAAAATGAGGACAACGAGATTTCACTTTTTTTTTAAAGGTTTTATAAAACAAAAAAAAAAAAAAAAGCAGAACTGTCATCTAACTAACAGAAGGTTTCATGTGATGGCAATAAAAAAATATTCAATCTTTTTTTTTTTTGCATTATTAAAACATAAATTGAAATGCAAGTTATAAATCAAATAAAATTTAAAATGCGAAAATTATAAATAAAATAAAACTAGATGCAAAAACTATGAAAAAATAATTTTTTCTATTTGTTAGCAATTTCTACCTATTATATTTACTTATTATCCATTATCTACTTATTTCAGTAAACAAAAAGAAAATCTTTTGACATATATATGTCAAAAGATTTTCTTTTTAATAAATTTGAATAAATTATTTGATTAATTTTTACCATCATAAAATTAATATTTAAAAAAAGATGAAAAAAGGAATGGAAAAAGGAAAAAAAAGAGATTATTTGATAGAAAAGAAATTATTTGTAATTATTTGATAAAAAAAAGAAAATCTATTAGCATTATTTTTCTATCAAACGTTATCTCAAGGAGTGAATTAAGAGCGTTTAGAAAGAGCCATGAAATATTGAAAATTTAGAACAAACTATTAATCATCAACAAATCAGATAAGTTAGAGCCAAGAAATTTTTTAATTTTAACAAAAAAAGAAGAAAAAGAAAGAGAAAAGTCGACCATTGCAAATTGCACATCAATTCTTTCAATTATATTATTTAGCTTTGTTTTTCTATTTTTTGTTTTCTTTTTTTCACACCCCCGCCTACCCATCTTTCACCCATGCCCGCCCATCTTCCACTTCCGTCCATTCCTCACCTCCACCTTTCCATCACATATCTTCTCCTAACCGCCTACCCACCTTGCCTTCCCACCTCTCATCGCCCTCACTTTTTCCCCCTCCTATTTAATTATCTTTCACAGTATCAGTGCAATGATAATTATCGTTTATCTTTTAGTGATTCAATAAAAAAAGAAAAAATCAAAATAAAGATTAACAAATGCATATGATCCTTTGTAACTGATAAGCTAATTAATACTTATTGATGAGGTAATCAATAATTATCACTAATCAATTACTTTCAAGCTAAAATAATATCAGATTTGTATTGTAATCTGAAAAAAAAAAACAACTATTAAGCATTTCAATTTATTTTTTATTTTTATTTTTACTACCAATTTTTCTTGTTATCTTATATTTTATCATCAATTAATTGTATAACAGCAAATTTTTTACTTATTTCATTTTTAATTTTTGCTCCTCCTTTTTTCTCTCCTAATTTTCATTTGCTAATTTTAATTTCATCGGCTGTACATTTCATTGCAATAGAATATCACTAATTCAATATTTGACATACATACCAATAGTTTATTTAAATGTAAAATAAAGTATAACTGAATGATGGAAAGAAGAGGATAGGTAAAATTGAACATATTTCGAAAGGGCAAAACAAAAAAAAAAAATGCATATATTATTAAAAATATTTCTGCATAAAATGAACTTATTGTTTCTAAAATAACTTTATTTTTCAAGTTTTGTTGTATATTTTACAATCTTTTATTTTTTTTCTGTATTTTACTTAGAAATTCTTTTTTTATATTTTACAGATTTTATAAAACTGTATGATAAGAAAAATATGTGATATTTGCAAGTAATCATTTCATTCTTTCACTTAGCTTGCTTACTTGATATTATTAAAAATTAATTTTGCATCTGTAGCAAGTGTAATTCATCTGACATCTTAAAATTAATACCAAAAATTTATCTCTTTATCATTATAGTGATAAAAGAATGAATTTAACGCTTATCTCTTTCCTTTTATTATCATGATAATTTTTGATAATTTTGTACTAAGAAATGAAATTTGGCGAATAATAATAGTATATGGGCGATATATTCTAGAAATATTTACAATAATATATTTAATTAATACTATGGTCATTTTGACTAATAATTGCAAATTATTATTTTATTAATATTGAAAAGTAATTATTTGACTGTTTTGAAATTACAAATATTCAATAATTTCATTTTAGGTAAATTTTTAAAAATTTTGCAAACATTTTTTTTACTGGTTTTGTAATTGCTAATAAAAGTTTTTTTTTTTTATTTTTTTATTTTTATTTTTTTTTATTTTTTGTTCCGTTTGTATTTTCAATTACATTTATTTTTCATCTAATGAAAAACTACTGAAAATATCAAAGGATGCGAATTTTATCAAATTTAAAAATACATATTGAAAAATAATGTATTTTTCATAATTAAAGTATTATTTTTATGTTAGTACCATTTTTTCTTCCAGTTAATATGAAAATTTATTGAAATTCCAACGAATGTTAAAGCAATGAAAGGAAAATTTTTGAACTCAAAAATTTTTTAATATGCTATCATCAGAAAATAGTACTGACATAAATGAGAATATTGATGGATTTTTATCAATGGTATCAAGTAAAGTTTGCCAATCAAAGTTTTTTTTTTTTAAAAAAAAAAAAATAATTGATCCAAATGATTTCATTGTGATTAATGAATATTAACATAAATGCTTACTTCTATTTAGAAAAGAAGCTAAAAAAATACGAATTATATTAAATTACAGTATTAGACTGAAGAATTGTGTGAGAGAAAATGAAATTTAAATTGACTGATGTGTAGAAAATTTTCAAATTTCAATACATGAATTTTTAAATCCTTTGCTATTAGAAGCAATATTATTCGTAATTGCTATTAAAATTATTTGTTATTATTGTCATTATTAACATTATTATTACTAATATTATTATCGTTATCGTTGCTACCATTCTTCTTATTGCTGTTGTTATTTGTAATGAACAGACGTTACTATTATTAGCATTATTTTTATTATTATATTATTATTCCATAATTAGTGCCGTTGTTTTTTATAATAACGGTAACTCATTATCACTATTATATTATTATTAAGTGTTAAAAAATTGAGCCAAATCGAAAAAATAAACTATATTTGAACTGATTTCATATCTTTTCGGTATTCTAACTGTTTCTTAAAGATTATCAACGATTTTTATACTTTTATTATTATTTAAGATAGGCGCAACTTAAAGCATTATTTTTTCTAAATTTTTTTTACATAAAATGAGTATTACTATTTAACTAAATAAAGTATTAAATGTAAATAATCGGTGTATGCATTTTATACATTGATTTTTTGATAATAAATTTGCAAAATGTATTTTATTGGTTCTTTTAATGTCATCATAATAAAAACAATTTACACAATCTTTCCATATAATTTTGCTATAATCATTTAATGCAACTTATATGTAAGTAAATAAATCATTTTAGACTACCTTATAGCTTAGCAATGTTATAAACTTATCAGTTAAGTGGAGAAAGTTTTAGCATTTATTTTGATAAATGACTTATCGATAATATCATTATCATCGTTTTCAGAGCAGCCATTAATTTCATTGTGTTTAATCAACTAATTATTCTAAAACGACGTTTCAAAACCAAAATATACCTGCAAATATCTAAAAGTGATCATATTTTGTTGCTCAATCATTAATTAGTTATTAATGTTAATTATAATTAGTAATCAAATACTGATTAAAAGTGAAGCAAAATTTTAACGTTGATAGTAGTAAAAGTTTATTCATTATTCTTTTGCGTGGAAGAAAGAGAAAGATAAAATATAAACGAAAGTAATTTAGCAAAAAAATAGAAGTTAAAATCGAAAAATGAAAAAAAAAAATGTAAGATAAAAAGTAAACAAAAGACGAAAACATGAAATCGTATTTTTAAAAATGTGTAGAAATTCTCATTCTAACTATATGTATGATTATGATAAAATTAACATAAATAAGTATATATTTCAGCATAGAAATGAAATCTAAAATGTTAAAAATAGCAAAATAAATGAAACTAAACGATCAATAATTTCCTTTTATGATATTATTTGAAAAAAGTTCTACATAAATTCTTTTAATGTTTTTTTTTTTTAAATTACACTATTATTTTTAAATTATGCTACTATTATGATGGATTTTGCAGGAAATAAATTAGATTTTCAAAAAAAAAAAAAATCAAAAGAAATAAAATGAAATTCTTCCTCTAATATATCATTGAAATGTAGTGAAACTTATATTGTAAAATAAAAGTAAAATAAAATATTTGAACAATATACTAATTATTAGCTACTAAAAAGATTATTTAAATTATTAGCAACAATCCAGTACAACCTAATTACTGTTATCATTTTGATCTGTAATAGATATTTGACTTTGAATTACATGAAATGACTGCAATTTAAATTAGTTGTCAGGTGTCAAATCAATTTAACTATTTCAATTATGAAAGAGGTATTATAATAATTGGTAGGAAAAAAAAGAAAAATGGAGATATATTATTGAATATACTTTAAACTATTTTATTTTAAAATGAAATTCAATCAAATTTATTTAATGGAATAGCGACAATAATAATTAGAAGATGTGAAAGAGAATGAAAATTTTTTTCTTTTTTTTTGGCAATATAAATCTGTTAAATGAATAAATTTTTTTCCTTCCTTAGTCTTGCTCTTCCCCTCAAAATGAAAATGGATTGAAGTGTGAAAAATATTTTTCCGTTCTCCTAATTTCATAGCAATTCATGAAAATTCATAGTTTTTCCAAATAATTTGTAGTTACTTTTCGGAAGAAAAAAGTAGATTTAGCAAAATGGTTGAAGTTTTTCTATAGCTTAATCTATGCTAATCTTAAAAGCATCATCTTTTATTTAATTGAATTTTGATTATCTCATCAAAGGCAGAATTTTTTTTTCTTGGAGTAAACAAAATTTATCAGTTTGATTCGTTCATGAAAATGGAAAAAAAATGGAAAGAAAAAATGATACGACTAGAATGTTTTAAAAAAAAAAGGAAAAAATATTGCCAAAAGTAGAAATGAAATTTGTCTTGTTCAAGTAGTTCTAAATTTTTTTTGAATTATTATATTACATGAAATAATGATTTCTTCGTTTTCTTTTCCTTTTTTTTTGTCTTTAAATCTACATAAAATTAATTAGAAATTAGAATTAAAAAAATTAATAAATGCTAATAGAGGATAAATTGCTTGACTTAATAAATTAAAATGCATGATTAAAATTCTGAAATAGTACTGAAAATGAAAAAAGACGATAGAAAATGATGAAAGTATTGTTGGATGAAAAAAAATATTGTCAAAATTGCTGCGTGTCATCCTTGTCATCCACTTTTTTTATTGTTTAACTTCTTTTTTGTTTGTTTTTCTTTTTTTTAAAATAATTTCTGGAAGAAGAAATGGAAAATAAACTCATTTCATCCGACTATATGTTAGCAAATTGAGGAAATGATCGTAAAACATGTAATATTGATTAAATGTCATAGATATATTCGCTTTCATTTTGCATCTGGAATTTTCGTTTCTTAAATGAATTCACAGAAAAATAAATTTAAGATTTTTGTTTTTGTTTTTGTTTCCTTCTGAAATAGATTTACAAAAAACGGTTTTATGGATTTCCTTTTTTGTTTTTTAAAATAAATTCACAAAAAAATTTGAAGAAAAAAGTGAACGAAAAATTTTTGTCTACAAAATGATAAATAATGTTAATTTTGTAGGAAAAATAATTTGATTAAGTGTTAATAAAATTTTTGAGAGTAAAAAGAATGATTTTCATCTTAAATTTGAACTTTTTGTTGGTTTTTTTAAAAAAAAAATTACTATCAAAAAATTAAAAAAAAATTATTTTTATCTGTTTTCTTTAAATATTTGGAGCAATATTGACTGGCAAAAAAAATGATGATGAAAAATCGAATTAATCAAATTTAGCAAAGATTTATAATAGCTAATAATTGTTTGTTGATTAAGTATTTCAAATATGTAGAAAAAAAAGTTATAATTATTATAATTGAAATATAATATTTACATTTAATTACTTTATTTACTGCTCATCCTTAGAATTTATAAAAAAAAAAAAAAAAATGCTAGAAAATACTAGAATTAAATTTATTAACTTAATCACTTTATCGAGCTGGTATTAATAATACCAGCAATCTCTTGCATATTATCATTAATCATAGTAAGCAATCCTTGGGCAAATTTAATTTATCACATGAATAGCTAAATCTAAATACCCTCTGATGTCTTTTTTTGCAAACAATTTTTATCATTATAAAATAAATTATGAAATTGAAAATAGAGTTAAAAATATTAAAGACATTAAATTGTATGATTTTCCCTGGATTTTGTTTAAAAAAATAAATTATGAAGTTGATAAATGGTTTCAATAGAAAATTTGTTTAAATGGAAATTTTTTAATGTATTATTCATATTATTCTATAGAATAATTAATGTTTGCTTATTGCTCATACTTTTTGATCTATTGTTTAATTGTGGTAATACATTCAATTAATATTGTAATTAAATTTTGCTCCTAAATATATCCATGAAAAGTTTTTATTAAACAACTAAAATTTCCAAATTAAAATATATTTCGATAATTAATAATTAATTAATTAAACAAACATTAGATGGCTTATGATCAGCTGAAAGTGGTATAGCGCGACCAGCTATATCACATGCAACCGCACGAGAATCACCAATATTTATAACAGTTAAGAAACGGTTAAGTTCCAATATTACTGAAATCAACGTGGAACCTGAAATTAATTTGATCCAACTTAATTTTTATGATATAACAAAACAATTAATAAATTATGTTTTATAATTTATTAACCTGTGAAACTAAATTAGAATTTAAAATTTTAAAATTTTGGATAAAATAATTTATGGACACTTTTGGCATAGTTTTTATACTGGCGATAAAATTTGATATATTAAATTAATTTTTTTTTTTTTTGCATGAAAGAAAAGTATTACTATTATGCAATTATGATTGACGCCTTTTGCTTGAAAATATTTGGAAAAAAAAAGCTATAATAAATGATATTTCTGTCGTTATTAAATTATAGAATAATTTGCTAATAATTAAATCAATCAATAATGATTAACACTCCATGTTGATTCAAATTCATTTTTTGATTTTTCATTTAAAAGCAAGGGAAAAAAAAAAGGTTTTTCAAGTTGTTTAAATTTTTAGTCAACATAAACAATTATTGCCTTTGAAAATTATCAGTATCATATTATAAAATTAATATTATACAATATTATATTATAAAATTAATCAAAAAAAGGAGTTAGATTTTTGAAATTTAACAAAATTTTGCATATTTGTTCAATAAGTTGATCATTTTTTTTCACATTTGTAGTTACAATACCATAAAAGTTTTGTTTTAAAGATTTAATTGAAATAATTAAAAGTAATAATAATAGTAATAAGATACCTGTAAGTGAGCTCAGTGATGGATGTAACCTTACGATTTCATCGTCGATATTATGTACTTCTGTTATTATTGCCTAAATGATTCTTCTATTTCCTTGTAAAATTGAAACAAAAAAAAGAAATTAACAAATTATAAATCTATTTGCTTCTCATAATATTAATTAAAATTTCATTATTAATTGTTGAATAAATTTTATATAAATCAAAATCAAAAAAAACATTCAGGGTATTCATTCTTAACAGTGTCAACAAATATGCATATCAGTTATAAATTATTTCACTTTTAATTTTATAATATTAAATAATAATTTTAGCAGAATTTTTACTTGATATTTTTGAAATTATTCATTTTTGTTTTATTGATTCGGTGAAAAAAAATTAGATAAAAAAATGAGAGGAAAAAGAAAGCTTTGGAAATTAATTAGAAGTATTTTGAAACGGATTAAAATTTGTGACTTTTTATTTTTTTTTTTAATTCGATGAATGAAATCAAAAAAAAAAAAAAAAAATACATATCTAGGAAACTAACAAAAAAAAAAAACGACGAAAAAGAATTATTGATTGGATTGAAAAAAAAGTTTTTAATATCCTTTATTTTTTCTGCCTTCATTCCTTCACTGCAACTCTTTTATCAAATTATAATACATCATACTTCGCATACCCTAGCTATGCTAGTAATAGCTAGGATATGCGAAGTAATATGGTAGTTATAGCTCAGGTGTACAAGTTAATGTGCTAAGCTTCAAGTCAAACAAATTTTCAATGCAATGATGAGACAAAGTTTGCTCTCAGGTAGGATGAATTAATTAGCTTTCCAGCCCTTTTATCCTGGCAAAAATTTAATTCTAATTCTAAATTCAAGTAATGTAATCCGTCTAGGAGGAGAACAAATCTGCGAACTAAAAATTTTGCTACTTAAACTTCAGATGTAGAGGATAAGGTTAGCGAATCTGTGTCTCATTTAAGAATATTTTGCATTTACAAGATTATTTAGGTGAATGAACGGCTAGATGAATGAAAGGTGTACTGGAAACTACATATCAAACTTCTAAGATTCAGTGAAAATCATCGCAATGAAGAAAATAGCCTTAAAGAATGTGGTAGCAGAAGAATCTACGTGACCTTTGTTGACCTCATCAAAATTTATTTTTGATTCTCTAAGCAGAAAAAATTCTATCACATATTATACAATAATTAGGATATCCTCGCAATCGTTCATTATGATGATCAAATTGTTGCACAAAGATCAATGCGATGAATTTTACCCGATATTCAAAACGGATAAAACAAGTTTACTCAATTCTATCAATAATCAATAATGTTACGCTTTCTTACCAATTAAATTCAAATTACTTTTCGATATGTTACCCAAAGAGTTAGTTACGTCAATGATGAAAACGGTATCCTTAAATTTGAATCATACCAATAAGAACGTATTCAATCTTAAATAATTGAAAGCACATAATAAATTTTTTTTTGCAGCATTTAACCCTAGAATTACTCCTTACAGACGATATTGTTTGCACTGAAATATCTTTACAGCGTGTAACTTGCTGTTTTACGGAAGTTTCAGAACTTTCCGGAACAATCAGACCTAGATTAAGAAATATACGGAATACTAGCTGTTGTACTCCTACAGGTTTCATAAAGTTTCATGAAGAAAAGACAATATACTAGAAGGAACCACACTGTCACACTCTATTACAACCTAAAGTAACTGCCGGTACGACAGGATTTGCTGGATTTGCATCATATCTCTATATTCGTCATTTCAACTACCATTTTCGTATCAATCATTGATGGATTTGCTTAAAACTTAAGCTATCACAAATTTTTATCTTACCAAATATGAATATATTAATTAATAAAGTTATGACCAATCCAGAAAGACTCCTATTCAAAAAATCCATTTCAGAAAGCTTTTTGAAAACTGTTTTAAAAAAAATCAGTTGAAAAAAATTCAGTGAAAATTCTAGCATAACTTTAGAAATTTAAAGTTAAAAAAGACAAATGAATTATTCAAATTAATTTTGTTTTCAAAAAAGAAAAAAAATGAAAACAATTTTCATTTTTACTATTAATTCTATTAAAGATATATTTATTATATTATGCTAAATGCTTTATTTAGGCTTCAAAAAAAAATTATTTTAAATATATAATCTAAAAATTATAATAGATTAAAAGATTGAAATTAGCTGATAAGATTTGAAATATCTGAAAAATTAATAAAATATGCCTCAATGACATGATCATTTGAATGCCCTGTTAAACTTGGATGACACTTTGAACTACCACGTAATAATCGTTGTCGTATTGCACCCGAAAAATGTTCCTCCAAATATTGTGATACAAACTAAAATGTTTTATTAATAATTTAATGAAGTAAAATAAGAGTTAAATCACAGCTGAATCTTTAAATAAGCATAATACAATTTGGCAATATGTTGAATTATCTATTTTTAACTTAATTACAACCATTACTTATTGTTTAAAATATCCATTTATCTTTATACTTATCTCTACATTAAATTTAAGAATTTGAAATATCAAAAAGAGATCAAGAAGAAGTAAATTATTAATTTGTAAAAAAATTTTTCCATTTCAAATGCATTTGACATAATAATTGGTATATAAATAAATATATTTATATGTGTTTATGAAATATATTAAAAATTTAACCTTAATGTTCTATACTAAATTAATTAAAATTTTTGACTGAAAAACAATCAGTTGTATATATATTCCCTTAATGCTAATAATTTATTTTAAAACTGAAAACACTAATAAATATTAATATGTAATTAAAAATATTAGTTGCACAAAAAAAGAATTGACATCAAATGCATTTGACATAATCATTAGAATAAAAATAAATATGTCCATACCTGTTTATAAAATACATTAAAATTTTAGTTTTAGATATTCTATATCAAATTAATTTAAATTTATAGCTTCAAAACAATCAGTTACGTATATTTTTTAAAATCCTTATAATTTCATCTAAAATTAGAAGTAACAATATTAGTTACACAAAAAAAAGAAAAAAAAAAGATAGCAATATTTTTTTTAATCCTAATAATTTTATCTGAAATTAAAACTATTATTATAGAATAAAAAAAGAAATATTAGTTGCACAAACAAAAAAAGAGGAAAAAAAGTAGCAAATATGGAAAATATAAATTGTAAAAAGAATTAAGTAAACTTTGAAGAAACCAACGTTAAGATGAAAGCTTAAAATCTTAAACGATTTAACAATGCTTTCTAACATTCATCTTCTTCAAATATCTTTTTTAAGAGGAATTTTTCTATATCCTTTTTTTTTATTATAAATTCTAGATAAATACCGTATTCTCATTGTTTTCTCTTTTTCAATATTTATTTTAACCGGATGCTTTCTACTTTTTCTTTTTTTGTTTTATTTTATTTATTTATTTATTTCATTTTTTTTTTCATTTTTTTTTCAAATTTCTTACTTTGGGATTATCTTTGATATTATTCCTCGATAATGTAATTCTCTTTTTTATTAATAAATATTTTAATATATGGATAAAAATTTTAGCTTATAATGAAATTTTTTAACGTCATATAACAAAAAAAGAATTCTTTTGCCAGCAATTCAAATATAATATAATATTCACGTATTATTAATTTACAATAACAATGCTAATAATAAAAATAATTTCATCAAAAAATACTTTCTTTCTATTTTTTTTTCTCACTGAGACTTAAATTTGAATTTAATTTTAATGAACAATATTTAGTTCTAATTTTTATTCATTTAATTTAAAATGTGAGACATAAATTTACCGGTCCACCATGTCCATCAAAAATACTAAACATGACAAGATTATGATATGGGTCATTCAAATAATGCATCCGATCCTCCATATATGGTCGATTACCGCGACTTGCATAAAATGACCAATGCTTATGCTTCCAATACCAATTTCCACCAGCTATAAACTTTTTTTTTACCTTTTTATTTTTTGCTTTTTATTTTTTTTGATATAATATATTTTATTACTAAGGAAAAAAACAAAAATAACCTCAACTATAATGTAAAAATATATTAATGTTAACCTACGTTAATCATGTTTGTTAGTTATTAATTTTTTTATAAATAGTAACAAATACAAAAAAAAAAAACAAACAAACAAATTGTTAAAATTATAAATAAATGTCATTAATTTGAGTAAAACTTTATTTTATTTAATTTTGACTTTTTTTAAAAAAAGTTTTCTTACAAATCATTTAATTTTTTTCCTTTAAAACAATGAGTTTAATCGGACTTACGGTATTGTGGTATATCTGTGAGACCAAATTTAACCAATTTTGGTGGAAAACATTTATTTCGATTAATTAATGTAAATGGTTCTAAATTTTTTCCACGTATGAGCAAATAATAATGCTTTATTATCCATTTTAAATACAATAAAATTATTCCAATCACAGCTAAAATAAATTTGATTAAATTTCGATTTTTTTAATATTTTAAAACAGTTGTTTTATGAATTGTGGTTGAATAATATTATTTTGAAGTAATGTGTGTAATAAAAGTACCAGATTTATAGTAGGACTAAAGAGATTAAACGATGATGAACTTTTTTTTTTTAAAAAAAAAATGAATATAGCAGCAATAACAGCGATAACAAATCATTTTTCCAATAAATATTATTAAATCATTTTCTATCAAATTTTATAGGTTATTCATTTTCTTTTTTCTTTTTCTTATATTAACTAAAATTATATGCTATTTTCTGTATGCTTTGAAAGATATTACGGTAATAATCTCATGAAATTTAACATTAAAAAATATAAGAAATTCATCGCATTATCAATTGTTGTTTAGAAAAGATTTTGTTTCTGTAATAATCACAATAACTTTTTTTCTTAAAGTTTCATTCAAATAAAATTTGTGAAGAAAAAAATAAAATCTTTTTGTTAACGTTAACAATTTTTTAGAAAAAATCTTTTATTTTTTCCTTACTACATATTTGCTTACTGCTTATGCTTACTACATAATATCATGTATCAAATTTTTTTTTTATAAAATAAAAGAAAAATAGAAATACTTAATTAATTAAATCATTTAGTTAATATATACATTTGAAGTATTGTCATGATTCATTCAATTAATTTCATTTATTTATTGTTCTAGTCGCTACTTCGAACACATACTAAAATAATAAAAGTTGGCCATAAAATGAGTAAAAAATTCGGATCAAATTAGCCAAAAAATTTCAATAAACTTAGTAGTTGCAGGTGAATTAGTAAAAATTTTAGAAAATTTGAACAAAAAATAAATTCTTACCGAAAAAAATGATAGTTTCAACACGAAATATAATCAACCAAAAAAAATATGTTACATTGGATGAAAATATAATAGAGAAAATAGATAACATTGAAAGTGCCGTTTCTTTTCTTCCTCTTTCATTTATAATAATATCATATCGGTTTAGTTTTAAATTATACAATAAATTCGTTCGATCCTAAAAAAAAATTATAATAATAAAAACAAGTAAAAACAAAATTTTCATTTGTATTATATAAAATAAACAAAAATTAAATGATAATTTAAAATCATGGAAATTATTTTAGAAAAACTATAATAAGTTTACATTAGAAAAAAAAATATCTTAGAGAAAAAAGAAAAGTGAACAAATAGATTTTTCTTCCTTTTTTTTTACTTTAATAAAAAATTTTAGTCCACAGATTAAAATAAATGTCATTTTTTTAAATCGATTTCATTCCCAATATGACAGATAATTCCAAAAAAAAAAATTAAAAATAAGCTTATTACTTAATTAGCTAATTAGAAAACCTACTGATTAAAAGAAGCTTACTAATTAAAAAAAGCTTTTATTACTTTGAAATTATTTCAAAAAAAAAACATAAAAAAGTTTAAAGCTTACTAATGCTGATATGATGTCTTCCTAATGCTGTTGAAATGTACAATGTATATTTCATCCAGAAGGCAAAATCATTGCTAAGGTTTATTTTTTGCTAACAGCTGTTCATAGTTTTTCATTTTTAAAAAACCATAAACTTTTTAATTTTTCCTTTGTCAATTTTTTAGTCTGATGTAATCCGGTATAAAATCCGTGTAACTAATAAATTTTATGTAACAATTGTTTCACACTTTTTTAAAAACAGTTTATACAATAATTTATTTCTTTTTCAATTAATATTTACTAATTTAAGATAGCATTCAAATAATATTTATTAAACTTACATAACTAGTATTTTTATTAAAATTTAAAATGTTTTTTAATTTAATTAGCACAGTTAATAATATTTGATGTACTTTATTTTAAATGAATTTTTGTCAACAAAAATTATAGATTAGTTTAATTAATTGAATCAATTTTTCTTATGATTATATCAACTTTGTTTCAATTAGAATAAATCAATAGTTTTTTTTTTTATCGGTTCAAAATTCCTTCATTTAGATAAACTAAGCATTTTTATGTTTAATAGATTTAATATTGCCACTATAATTAACCAATGTTAGTTATCCAGCAGAATTTTCATGATAAGTGTTTTCGATAAAAAATATAGACTGAACAAAATATATTTTAAAAATTCAATTTATTTCAGCTTGATTTAATTTTTCGGTCTCTCTGATTTTTTGTGCAGCGCTTCAAATCGTCTCAGATGGATGAATTTTAAAAAAGCAACATTCCAGCAGTACATAAAATAAATAACTAAAAAGAAATGAAAAATGATTAAAATTCTAAATTCTTAAAACTGAATTTCAATGGAGAAAATGATATTTTAAACAAAGAAAAGGTGCAAATAGATATTATAGGAAAACAGCAGTAAGTCATATTTGGAAATAAATAAAATTTAATAAAAATTAGTTTAGAAATAAGAAGAGGGACATTTTGACACATCGCTGATAATTTCATATTTTAAAATGCTGAAGATTTGCTGCGCGGCTGTCCTTGTTTTTATGCAGGCGTATGCGTCGGCGGATGTGAGGAATTGAATATATAGATTTAAAAGAAATGCTACTAAGAATAATTTTGAGAAAATGCCGAAGACACTGCTATAAAGATAACGAGTGTTGATTAAATCAAATTTCATTAGTGATTTGCAGTTACAATTTACAATTATTAATTTACAATTGTAATTAGCAGTTATTACGGTTATAATATTATTTCATTATTGCGTTCAAGTTTAATGAATGTTGTTTTTTATAAAATTTGAGTGATCATTAATTAGAGATTGTTAATTATATTAGTTTAAGGTCTAATTTAAAGCAGTTTTCATTTTCAGAATAAAAAGTAGCGTTGAGTTTCATGCGAATTATTATTTTATGCTTATGTTATTCATTTTTTTTTATATCTGCTTATAACCATTTAATTGTCCATTTGGTGATTTGAAATAATAATAATATTAGTTATAACAATAATAATAACTAATAATAGCAATGATAGTAATAATAATAAATAATGGAAATGATAATAATCAAAAATTCACATTTCATTATCAATATCATTGTAAATGTAATGTTTTTTAAAATCTTCAGATTTTTTTTTTTTTTTACTTAAAAGTTTTCATGCTATCTTTTTCTAACTTTGAAAAAAAAATAATTAATTTAGGTTAAGAACACTATATGAAATCAAATCAAATTAAATCAATTTTAATTAGAATAAAGTCAAACAAATTCAAATGAATAATTAAGTACATGAAACAAAAAAATTCTTTTAAAGCATTTTTTTTACTAAATTTTATTTGTTTAAATATTTATTTGTTTAAATATTTGCTTTGTTTACAATTCAATGGTTATAATATTGATCATATTTCATTAAGGGCAGCTGTTCATTCCTACCAGTAATTAATAATAATAATTATAGTAATTCAAGCTGTGTTTCTTTTTCCTTCTTTTTTTTTTTATCAAAATTTAAATATTTAATTTCATAGGATTAGTGAAGAAAGTGTAAGTTTTCGTCCTTTTCGACTTTTTTTTTTGAAATTCTTAAAAATAAGTTATTTTTTAAATAATTACTAGCTTTAATGTATAATATGTTCAAATCATCTGGTTCATCTTTTCTTTTCTTTTTAAACCAACATTTTCATTGATCAATCAATGCTTTAAAACCATGCTTTCATTTTTTTTTTTTTTTTTTTTGATTGACAAATTAATCTTATTCAGTTCAAAAATTCAAACAAAAAAGAAGAAAGGAAAAAAAAAGAGGAATGTAATGTCCAATTATGTTAAGCAAAATGTGGATTTATTGGAAAATATTCTGCGAGATCTTTTTTCATATTTTATCAAATATAATCAAAACAGATTGTATAGTATTTGTATTTGTGAAAAGCAGTAAAAATTTAATCTATCAAATTCTACAATTTGTTCATTTCTTGCTGTTGTTTTGAACCTTTACCCAATTTCATATATTATATAATAAGCAATAGTAATAGTAATTTTACTATTTGTTTAAAAAGTAACATAAAAAAAGGAAACTGATGAATTTGAAATGTAATTTCCTACTATATTCATGCATTATTAGTTTAATAAAAATGTGCAATGAGAAAAAAAGTGTTTACCATTATCTGAATGCATTATACATTTGTAGTAATTAATTATATCAACAATAAGGAGGAATTAATTAATTAAATTATATGCACAACGAATGTATTGTAGATATTTTTTTCTCTTTTTTTTTAGAAAAAAAAGGAATTACAAAAAATGTAAGTAAATCAAAAATGAAAAAGAAATCATATGCATATCACTGCATTATTCATAAACACTTTTTTTTGTTAATATCACTACTTGTTATTAAATTTAATATGATTTTTACAACATAATTTTTGATTATCATTTTGCTCAATAAATTTTCATAAAAATTAATGTAAATTTCAAATTCTTTTTTTTTTTTTCTTCTCCTCTTTTCATTTACATTTTTCCACTCATTTAAACATTTTTATTAACTAAAACTAATTTGTAATATTGGAATTAAAAAAATCGCACGGACAATTATACCTATACTCGAGAAACAACAAATATATTATCATCAAATACAAACTGGATTGTAACGAAACAAGTGGAGTGAGATATATTGAAATCCAGAAAGTTTCTTCATCCCAGTTTTCATACTGGCAAATTTCTTGTTAACATTTTCACGTTATTTCTTTGTTTCCTTTCTCATTTTTAATACATTAATTAATTATCTTTCTTCATAAATGCCCCAAACATTTCCACTGGTACCGGAAATACGATTGTTGAATTGTGCTCCGCTCTATAAAATATATAATTTTAAAACGATTTATCATCTTTTATCATTAGTTATAACATGCACCACTTGCTGTTACTTATAAATGATAATATAATCATTTATAGCACTTATTACCACCATTATCACTATAAATCATTACTTCACTATTTGAAAATACATATATCAGGAGAGTGAGCAAAATTTTTTCATAATATTTGAATTAGTTAAATGCAAGATAATATGCTTTATCGAGTGATCAAATATGTTTGTTTATCTTCTTACGCATGGAATAATTATCAAATTTTAAATTAATACTCTAATAATTTCTTCCTTTTTTTTTTTGAATTTGCTCTTTTTAAATAGTTTTCAAATTAACAATTTTTTTCTTACTAGTGAAAAAAAGAGAAAGAATTATACGCGATGCTATTTAATGCTTGAAGATGTCGTAACTGTAAGGCTACCGGATTAGATTGAATTACATCGGCGGCTTCTTTAAGAGCTCGAGATGCCTTCAATTTTTGTTAAATATTACGAACATAAATAAATTAACATTTAAATTAATACAAAATTTAGTAAAATTGAAATTTTGCGAAAAAAATTGAACTAGAACAAATGTTATATGAATCATTTTTCTTTGTTTTTTTTCCCCTTCTTATATTTTTATATTTTGGATAAACATTTTAATCTTTCAATCCATATATTTTGCATAATTCTACCAAAAAAGAATTATTATTTTAGTTAAAATTTAATTCCTATGATTAGAAATTTAATTCTTATTACTTAATGAAATAAATTCCAAAGAAAATATATTGTAAAAAACATTTTTTTTAATTCAGTAAAAGCACTCAGAAATATTTAAATAAATTTGAATTTTTATTAAAATAAATTAAATGACTGAAAAACTGGAGAAGAGATATGATTTGTTTTTTGTTTAATTTTATGATAATTTTAATTTCATGATAAGAGATTGAAAAAAAAAAAAGTGTGAAAATCACTTACCTTCTGTTCACCTTCCGCTGCGACAACTTTAGCACGTGCTTCACGTGCAGCTTCAGCTTCTGCCGCCATTGCACGTGTTAACTGTTGAGGTAATCTAATATCTTTGACTTCTACTCGTTCCACCTGTAATTTACTGTTATTAACCATAGTACCTATAATTTATAGATAATTTACTTTCAATAGTAAAGCATTAAATGAAAAACATTCTATTGGTAATAACTAATGGTATCACTCGGGATTTCCGGACTTTTCAATAATTTTCTTTACCAGTATTAGCATATATGTAGTAAAAGATTAAAATGTTTAAAAATTTCTAATAGAATCAAAAAAAAAGAAAAAGAAAAATTAAAAAGTAAAATAAAAAGAGAAGTTAAACCTTAACACCCCAATGTTCGGTTCCTTCATCCAAAATTGTTTCACAAAGTTGCGCAATAGCTTCACGTTCCGTTAACATCTCGGTTAAAGTTTTCATGCCTAAATAAAAAATGGCCTAGGATTTTCTTTCTAACACTTAATATGTTACATAGCTCTTATTAAAGTAAGGTTTAAGTCTTATTATACAATTCTAATTTTAAGATAAGTCCATTCTGGCATTTTTTTAAAGAGTAACATCAATAATGAAAAACTTAGCTGTAAAAAGTAATACATATCATCGTTTTTTTTCTCCTTTTTTCAAAATTTAATTTCTTCCTATCAAATACAAACCAAACTTTTTACTAGAATAAGCGATAAAAAGTTAAATTAATGTAATGAAAGATTTGCTATCTCCTTCTAAAAGAAATGAAAAAAAAAAAAACGATAATGTATAGCGCCATTTCAATAATTGTTTAATTTTTATCGTTTGTTAAATTAACCAATCTTATCTGCTATCCACTGAATAATAAATATGATTAAATTTATAAATTCCAAAATTTAATTTCAACTTTATTTTGTTTTTGTGATAAATTTTCTAATATATCTTTTCTGTCTTTATTCAAAATTATATAACTGCATATTCTGTTATCCAAATAATTTTGAAATTTAAAATTATCAAAAAAAAAGTTATTTAGTTTTAAAAAAATTATTTAATTCAACTAAATCATAATAATAAATAATTGAATTACCAAGTGCGTTACGCAAAGTTGTTTGAGCGAGCAATTTTGTCGAGTATATAGCATCGTCAACGTTATTCACAGATGCAATCGGATCAGAAGTACGAAAATAGACCACGGCATCAACAGATACCGTTACTGAATCTTTTGAAAGAATTTCTTGCGGAGGCACAGCATATGACACAACCCTTTAAAAAAGTTTTTTTCTTTTTTCATTTAATTAATTAATCAAAAAACATTGCAAATATTTTGATGGTAAAATTTTTTTTTTATTTGCCTTTTTGATAAATTCTTTTTATTTTATTTCTTTTCTTTTCTTTCTTTTCATTGGATGACAAAATATATTTTTTATGTCTTTTTTTTTTCTTTTTTTTTTACATTTATAAGAAAACAAAAAAATTGACATAGCCTTTCGCTAAAGTTATTATAACCTTTGAAGTATTAGGTGGTAATAATGTGACATATTATTGGAAAAATATTTGTTCTTCCATTTTCAATTTTGCATAATGATACTTAAAAAATTGATATCGTCTATAAAAGTGAACAATACTTCAATTTCATTTCAATTCACAGAAAGAAGGGGGAAAAACGCAAGAATGAAAGAAAGAAAGAAAGAAAAAGACGAAAGCTTGTTTAAATTTTCATAAATAGCAATAATTTGGTGAAAAAAAAAGTAAAGATAAAATAAAGAAAACGAAAAAAAAAAAGAAAAGACGTCAGCATTTTCTTATTTCAAACAACGAATCTTTGAAGTAATCATTTCAGTATGCAATGCATATGAGAATTGCTTGCTTGCTTATTCAATCGTAAAAAGATAATTCGAAAAAAAAAAATTTGTTGAAATATTTGCAAAAAGTTTTTCGATAATAGTATTATATAACTACCATTGATTAATGCGATAAAATGCGATAAAATGTTAAAGACTAAATTATAATTTAAAACTGATAGCTTTATTTCAAATGATGATGATAATAATAAATTCATTTAGTTTAAATAATAATATAGTTGAAATTTATCAACTTTCGTTTACTTGAAATTAAAAATTATTGAATATCTAAAGAAGTAAACAAGGAGAAAAAATCGGAAGTAAAAAGTATGATCATTTTCTTCTGAAAAATTAACTATGCAATGTAGTGAAATCAATTAGTGTTAATCTATCATTTAAATCACAAATACAGAAAAGAATAATTCGTGATTTTATTTTTACTAAAGATGAAAAATAAAAAGAAAAAAACAAAAACAAAAATGAATTTGAAGAGATAAAAAATAGATGACAAAGAGAGAAGGAAAAGTGAAAGAAGGGAGAGAAAAAATAAAGTATGATTAGATGAACAATGCTTTTTTTTTTTTTCATGCATTTTTCGCATTGCATTACTT